AGCGGGCCGGGCATCCAGAAGTGGCCGGGGGCGAAGGAGGCGCGGCGCGTGAGCAGGTGCGGGAAGATGGCGGCGAAGTAGGACAGGCTGGAGAGCTGGACGAAGCAGCCCACGAAGGCGTTGAAGGCCGTCGTCGACCCGACGTAGATGCACGCCAGCACGGTCACCATGCCCCCGCACACGAGCGTCGCGTTGAACGGGTTGTGCATGCGCGGGTTGATGTGGCCCAGCCAGCTGTGGAAGGGCGTCGCCTGGTCCCGCGAGATCGTCCACAGCGTGCGGCCCGCGGTGATGTAGCATCCGGCGCAGGTGATCACCGTCGGGAGGAAGGCGACGATCAGCAGGCCCAGCGCCCCGCCGCGGGTGCCGGTGGCTTGGTAGTAGATCTCGGCCAGCGGGAAGCCGTAGACGCTGTTGAGCACGGCGGAGAGGTCGGTGATGCTGTAGAAGAGCGCGATCATGTACACGATGCCCGTGAGGAAGCCGACGGTCATTTGCGCGAGGACGGCTTTCGGGATGTTGCGGCTTGGTCTGGATGGTGGGGGTTAGGGCTGGGGCTGTTGCAGGGAATAAGGGCCGGCTTACTGGGGAATCTCCTCGGCGAGGTGCGATGAGCAGTCCGGTGTGCCGACGCTGTACGCGCCGTTGAGCATGCCTGCCACGAAGACAAAGCCTTGGCTGGAGTAGCCGGTGTCGTTTTGCCAGGAGCCCCAGACCTCCTTGCTAGCTGCGTAGCCGGTGCCGTTGATGTGCGGCATCACGGCACAGACAACGATGGTGATGAATACACCGGCGAGGATGAAGAACAGGCCGAGATTGCCGATGTGAGGAAGCCACCGGTTCATGAAGAGCACAATACAGCAGCACATCCAGGTGCAGATGACGAAGCTCACGAAGATATGCCAGGACTGAGGCACAAAGCCTGGGTGCATGAGGGCGTACATCGACACGGTTTGCTGTCCAAGGATAGCTGACATCGAGGCTGCGCCCAGGATCCATGCCAGCGAGTTCCAGAACCCGGCAAAGAACCCGCACACCCGTCCGTATCTGCCCGCAGTGACGGTAGCCCAGTGGTAGACTGGGGTAGACGTTAGAGAGAGGGATATCCGAGAAGTGTCAAGATCTACCTACCTCCACTGGCAGATGGCATGCCAGATGCCAGTTCTGCAATCGAGGCTGCAACTAGCCAGTAGCATACAGACACGGCGATGCTAGAATCATGTCAGCACTCTTGATCCGTGATGGATGGGGGGGTGAGGGCCATACAATTCATATATCACACCAGACGGGCCTCCATTGCTTAAGGCCGTGGTCTGGATACCGTCAGTCCAATCTCCTAGCACGGACAGAAGACGATTCGTAGCATACCACACTGCCACCCTGGGCAATCCATGTGTTTCCGGTCGTGACAGCCACGGCACAGATGCTTAACAGACTGAAATTGCGGTCGACTTCCTGACGGTGGCCCGAAACATTGACTACCTCCACAGATGATGCATCCTCCCCTGCATCGATGGGGTCTAACTTCCCTGCTATCTTCTCTGTCGTCATGTCGGGATCGAGATCGGCGGGGATAGTGATATGGTTCGTGGAAGGTGGATTAACGACGAATGGGGGCAAGGATTCGTCAGAACGCTTGATAGCGCGGCAGCTGCTGGTTAAGTCGTCGGAAGGCTCTTGTAGTATATCGCTAATCTGTGTGGCTTGTGTGTGATTGACAAGATGATGAGATAGTCGAGGTCAGGGCTGGCTGAAGAATCACAGGTCGAAAACGATCATTGCCCTCTTTCCCCCAGTTCTGTAGCGGCGAGAGAGCACAGGGACACAAGGAGAAGAGCCAGAGGGCACCGTGGGCGAGGACCAGAGTTTATAGAGGCGAGCGAGGGAGGGATGAATGAGAGATGTACTCCCTCCGTATACTCCAAGTGATCAGAGCTGGTGGGGCCAGCACAGCGTGGGAAGGGCCGTTATCGCCCAATCACGGGACATTCTGGCTGATGTAAGGCTCCGATTGGCGGAGAGGCAGGGAAGCCGTGAAGAAGCGACTAGTCCCAAAGGGGGAGCTTCAGCAGATACACTCTCTGCGAGTCTTTGCCTCTTTGCCCACTTGCCCACTTTTTCCCTTCTGCCTTCACCTTGCGAGGTTGGTTTTAGGTATGTGTCCTCCCTGTCTATCATCGGGAACTAGACGGACGGAGGAGGGGGGGGTCTGGTCTGCATGGTTTTCAACTCTTTACATGCTTGTTTGCTCCACATATGGGGTCTATTGACACATCAGAACTCATTCCTCAATCCGGGGAAGCTGGGGAAGCTAACGACCATCAATATGCTGTATGGCCCTTACCTACGTAGTACTTCATCGTACAGAACGGCCAACTCAGGTACAAGTACAACGGTTTGACCGATTTTGAGCTTGCGCTGATAAGCGCTTGTTGGAGGTCGAGATAACTGGGTCATGTGTGGCCCGTGTTGAGGGAGAGTGGGTGAGAGAGAGGAAGAGCGAGAGAAGTCGAGCCTAGAGGCAGCGGAGCACGCACCGATTTATGTATACTCTCTTCACGCTTATCACTTTGATAGCATGTGTTCTGTACATCCAACTGCAATCATGAATGAATTGCACTAGAATACAGCGGCGTACTCTATTGCATGAGCCATGGATGCCTTATCAAGCGGGCAGCCACCGCCATCGGACGCCAAGAAGCCGGGGTTTTCCCGTACTTCCTTCAGCCTTCCATTATCAATCCCCATTATTCACTGATAAGTTAGAGCCGACCTGAGTCTCCCCATCCATTTGACTTGAGATATGAACACGGACTTATGCCTGTGTATCACCTAGTGCCGTTTTCCTACAGTCAAGGTCCTGCTGAGTCTACCTGCACCCTCCAATTCCTAGCTCCCGAGCAATTGACTCAGCCCACTCACTGTAACTACAGAGTATTTACAGTAGTGGCATCACTTACGGCCTGCTCCACTCACTTCGGAAACTCCCAAGCCTTCGAACGATGGATTCGACTAGTGTTTCTTTTCCAAATACCTGCCCCATTTCTCATCCCTGCAAGGCCGGGTTCTAGCGGCAAAAACTCACCCTTGGGCCGACCAGTTGGCTCCAATGACACCACTGGTGTTGCATGCCTTACACAGGGAGCCTTCATATTTTCTCGCTCTTGACAGTTCGCAAGATCGTCAGGAAAGATACAAAGAAGATATGCAAACGAGCACATCAACGCGGACATGGCTAAAGCGAGTGACCGCCATAGTCCTCCGTGTGTCTTAGCAAATGAGCCCCGAGACCGAACAATCCTCCTGTTCCAGAACACGGACCATTATGCTTCCAGGCCGTGGATTGGTGAAACAAGTTCAATGAGCATTCGTTCTCCAGCCCACCAACGAGGAGTCAAGATCGAGATGGCACGAGCTTAGCGGCGGATTCTCGAAGCTAAACGTGCAGGTGTAGACTATTTGCGGACCGTCGTACTTCCCTGGTAGTCCACCTCAGTGGGCGAGAAAAATTTTCCTCGATTTTTTCCATCACTGACTGATTCAGCACATGAGGACGAGGTGCAAGCACGAAGACACTTGCGGATCTGCAGAGTACCTTCCAGCTACCCTACGATCGCAATAATGAACCCTTCCCTGATTGCCTACTCTTGATTCGAGGTATCGTAGTCTGATCGAGTGGGGAGTCTTTGCATCGGATGAACGGATTGGACTGGCTCCAGCTCGATTGAGTTTCTGGTAACAAAAGTATTGACTAGTTCTACACTGTTACCTGCACCCTTGGGAAGCCGAACAAGGAGCTCCACCTGCAACAGTGATGTCGCTAAAGGGCATACCGGTACTTACGCACATGCAGCAGGGGTGCATCTTAGTGTCGTTCATAGTAATGAACGGTGGAAGCCACGCCCCATCTCCGTATATTGTCTCGGGAGACAATTCCCTCCCCCCTATATTGCACCAGACGCTGCTGGGTTTGGAATTAATCAACCGGTCTTCACCCTGTTTCTCAGACTCTCGAAGACAAAAGTCTCCACTGGCTGAGTGGCCATATCATGGAGACTTCGCTTGACTGAAGGATCGACTTGGACTGGGGCATTACGCCACCCAGGTGCAAATCCCCCTGCCAGCTGGAGACGATTCCCCCCGACAGTAACGTGCGATAATGCTAAGTTTTCGCCGGCCGGTGCTTGAGTGTTCTGGTCTAGAAGTAACTTTATGCCAGGCCTTCGCATACAAGACCCAAAATGGGAGAATTTGGCTCCAGCGAAGAGAGTTCGACTTCGACCGAGTCCAGCTGGTGGTGCATGAATTGATTTAAATGGCTTCCGGCCAAGTGGAGATTGGAATACAAATTAAGTTGCAACTAGCCGGCATTAAGGGACCCACCTCCCCAAAGTCAAAGAAAGTGCGGTCCATCCATTGACGGAGTACAATTTGTACACATACGTGTGCATCTGCTAAGGTGCATTCCTTGTGGGACGTCGGTGCAGTCGGTGGAGTGATGGCTGATCTTTTCCGCTCAAAGTCCCCCCTCTCCCGGTCTCCCCATACATGATCCAGATAGGCTTAGCAAGTTACACGCAAGTCTACTCTGGATCACGGACTCTTCGTGGCTCCGATGACGATGAAGCTGGTAAAGTAAGCAGCCAACCGTGGTGCGGTGTCTGTACCTGGGATGCACCCTTGGCTCATCCTTGCATGCAGTTCGCTGGCCATTCAATCACCGACCCCCGGCTGATTGATCCGGCCTAGCCTGAAGATCAGGTCTGGTATTCGCCCACTTCCTCCTCTTGATCATTATCTTCTCAGTGCATACTCTCTCGACGCACGCAGTCATCAAGCTAGCCGGGATCATACATCCTGGTTCGCCGTTTTTGATTGCTTGACCAAGTGTGGACGTCTTTCTCCCCTGGCCGGCGTGCCGGTACCCAACCTTATCTTAGCAAAGATGTGAGTGCAGCTCACTTATATTACCCTGAGCCTTGTCCGGCGTTGGTCCCTTGCAGGAAAGGATCTCGATTGACCGGTTTCCTCGTGGCTTTCCAGGTTGCACTCCAGCACGATGTCCAGTCTAAGCCCCGCTTTCGCACGCAATTTTGCGCGGGAGACATGGACGCTCTATGGTGTCGGGGTGCTGGGTGCAGTACTGAGGTTGTGAGTAGTAGCCTTTTACTTGTTGCATTTTGGAAGACATATCTTGTCTTCGTCCTCAAGTGCGGTGCTGACCATGGCTTCTTGGTATAGCATTGCACGAATACGTCGGTTGGGGGTCACCAATCTCCAGGCGGACGATTATCTGATGATGTTCGCTGTCGTCTGGTACACGCTTCTTTGTGTTGCTCTCAACCAGGTCGCTTCAGGCGGGGGTTCCAATTTGATGAGCGAGGATGATATCAAAGCATTAACCCCCACCATCAAAGCTGATCGCATCCGCGGAAGTAAATGGGTTTTTGTGTCGGAGCACTGCTTCCTCCTTGCCATCTGGGCGATGAAGGCCTGCATGCTGGTGATTTATGCTCGCATCACGTATGATCATCCATGACTTGTGACTGTGCTGAATGCTGACTCTAGGAAATGTTATAGGGAGGGACTGCGCCAAAGAAAATGGGTCAATTACCTCTCCATCTACGTTGCCCTTGGATTCGTGGCAACTGAACTGTCCCTGTTCCTCATCTGTCGGCCTATCCACAATTACTGGGCCGTGCCGACTCCTTACGGTAAGTCAGTCTTCTGCAAAAATGGCTTGTACGCCTCTTGCTGACTGCGCGATAGCGCAATGTTCGACATATCAGTACTATGAGATCGTCCAAGGCGTTATCTCCATCTCTGCGGATGTATTCATGCTTCTCATTGGAATCCCCCTCTTGGTCCAAGTGCGCGTCCCTTTGAAGCAAAAGTTGATCCTCATGCTCTTGTTCGGCATGGGTATCTTCGTCATCGTCGCGGCCCTCCTGAACAAACTCTACTGCTTGGTCCCATCGCTCATCTCTTACGTTTACATGAACTGGTATTTCCGTGAAGCCACCGTCGCCATTCTGGTCACCAACCTACCCTTGGTGTGGTCTCTCCTCCGTGATGTGTTCCCTGCCCTCAAGAGCTGGACCGGAGGGTCCCACCGAGGAACAGACCGCTATCGAACAGGCCCATACGCGCCGAAGGGGTCTGCCTACCAACACTACGGGCCTCACAGTCAGTTGCGGTCCGGAGACTTCAGCATGCGCACCTATAACCAGAGCACTGTTGTGGCTCCCAGCAAGGCTGTGTCGGATGTCAGCACGGAACCGGTAGATGAGCGCGAGCCCAGTGACGACGGCTCCGAGCGAGCCCTCCGCATTCGACAGGACGTCACAGTCACGGTGGAGCGGGAAACACGACCGCCCGAGTATTGGGATTCTCGAGGCGCGGGGGCAAGCCAACAGCCTTGAGTGGCTCGATCTTCTACACTCACTTCACTTCCTTATTTTATCTTCGATTCTCTATGAGTTCTTCCCAGTCTTTCTACTACCCTCACCTTCGTTCCACTCCTTTCACACCCTCCTTGACTTCTTTTCCCTTCTGTGCTTGATATTGCTTACACATATGGCATGATCTGCCCGCGACGCCTGATTGGCAACCAATTTTTGTATATATAGAAATTGCTCGGCACCCCATCGTTGATCAGCATGATAGGTGGGTGGGGGGGTTCGTCCCGCAGCCGAGTGATCATGACGAGCATTGGTCTGGGCGACCAGGTATACCACGGATAGACAAAATACGAACGAATCCTAATGGACAGCGATACGAGTAGCACGAGGACCATGGGTGAGTTCCAGCTACACATGCGGTGTTGAAATCACGTGAGTAGCCCGATCCGTATCGTTGACAGACAGAGTGGATGAGACGGTACTCGGTAAGTTACGTAAAACAACCCTCCGACAGGTACCCATCCATCCGTCAACCCCGGGCTTTTTGGAGTCTTGTGGGCAATACAGACACAGACAGTGCGGCCCGGCGCCGCCACGGGGCCAAGACCCTGTCTTGTACTGTACGTCTGTAAGTACTTAAGTAGTGTACTGTGCTGCTGTACGAAGTAGTAACCGTGGACAGCTTAATAGGGTACGGGAAACCCCGGCCCCGGGAAAATACCTCTCGCGGTACGGTCACTCTCGGTACTCGTCCCCCGATGCGGCAACATCCACGGGGCGATATTGATCTATCATTTAGATTAATTCTTTTCGCCAGCCAGGAAGAAGGCAAAGGTGCGTGGGCTGCTCAATAAGATTGTGGCAGAGTTTTTCGTTTTCCCCAAAAGAGGGGTGGGGGAGGGGTAGGGGAAAAAAAAAATTCGTGAGCAGGTCCAGGCCAGCGCCAGGCACCAGGGGCAAGAAAGAAAGAGACTTTGGTTCATCCCACCCACAGTGCAAGGTTCAATGCAAGGACAATTGCATTGCCATCCATGGCCTGGCAGTTCTTTCCAGCCTTATCCAGTTTTCCAGCTGATCATCAACACAAGAAAGACCTCACTCACAGCCTTCCGTTCCATGGGCCACACTCCACTCGGCAACAACCGCTTTGGGCAAAGATTGTTGTCGATTCTCGGGGCCGACGTCGACCATCATCTTCAATTGAACCACGGACCACTACCACTACGTACGTGCGAGTTGGTAGTGAGTGGCAGACTTACACAGTCTTCCGCTTACTCGACAAGATGAACTACAACAATCTGGCCCATCCCTCCCCCAGGAAATTCACATCCGCTGGCAATACTGGATCTGAACTGGGAAACCCCAGTAAGCCAGCTCATGTAAAAGTGGATATCAAAAAGAGGGAAAGTTCGCCACCTCCTATAATCCCCAGTATGCCTGCCTCGTTCAACTGCACTGTAGAGTTCTCCGTGGCTTCAGAACCCATGCATTTAGCCTGCGCACCAGACCAAACCCCCTTCCCTACTGGAACTAAAAGCGTGACGGGGAATTCTCCGTCTCTCAAATGCATACTTTCGGAGATACGGATGGATAGTCGAAAAGTCAATGCCCTCCAACCTTTTTCGCTGGTAGCACTAAACATCCTTGGGTCTCGCACGAAACGCTTATTATCGCTGATCAACTGTCAACAGGTGGCTATCCTCTCTGCACAGACTTGGATCGTACTGTACCAAACTCTCTGTGAAAGTCAGTCGGCACCAGCATTCGGCGCGATTGGCCCTTTGGCGTGTTTTTGAGTCAATTTGGGATACGATGGAAGGATCTCATCGCGGATGTCGGCACTGCAAAATAACTTACCTTTTGATAGTAGACTAGCTTTGTACTGTACATCAGGATACAGTGCTTCCCAGGAATCTGCCTGAATCTACATTTTACATTTTTGCCGGCTCTCGTCCCCAAAGGCTGATCTAGCGTTGGGATTTTTCAAGTTACATACATACAGGCTGAACTTCCCTTCTGAACCGACATTCGGGCGAGCAGCCTCGCTTCAATGATCTGGCCGGGTCTCTCTGCTCTGGGCTACCGTTAACTTACTGCGTCAACCTCCTGTTCAACGACCACGCAACATTTCCGCCACACAGCCACATACGAGGCGGATTTCGACGGACTCGATCCTTCGCGAGGCTAGGGCAGGATCTAGTTATTGCACAGGAGGACCCCAGAAAAAAAAAAAAAAAAAAAAAAAAGAGGGCGAGAGATGCCTCGCTCGTTTGGATGCTCGGCGCAGTACCACCGTTTTTGTTGTCCTCCTCCGCGCCTAGGATCGTTGGGTGGTGGAAGTCATGGCACTAAGAGGGACGGCGTCTGCCTGCACCCACGGGGTCAATATCGGTGGTTCTAAGGGGCATTGTTATCGACGCCTGGTTGTAGGCCCTTCGAACTCATTAGTGTTCGGTTATCGTAATCCCGATCGCAACGGAGGGGAGGGGAGGAGGCCACGTGACGCGCATATCGGATAGCATAGAGGTGGAACAAGGTGAAAGGTGAACGTTGTTTTGTCGGTGCCATGAAGGGATTACTGATTGGGATACTGATTTGCCTATTATCTTTTTGTGGTACGGGTTCCGGTATATCGGGTTGCGTCTCACGTCCTCCTTTTGCACCCCTGCAGCCAGCCCTATGCCCTGCAGGACCGCAGTTTGAAGAATAAGCGCTTGTGCATATCTGATCTTCCAGATAGACACTGCATCTTCGGGACACAGGCACTTCTTGATTGGCTGACCACCTGTAGTACGATTGAGTTGCTTATCATCAACGCTAGGCGCGTCGTCGCAACGGCTTGTCCTCTATCGGTTACTACTATAGGGGATCAGTCTTATCCGCTACCACACCCGATTAGAGCATCAGCAGAGCCATAGCTCCCCTATGTCTTCCTCTTTCTTGGGGCTGGACGGGCTCCATGTCCTCGTTACTGGCGCTGCGGGTGGCATTGGTCGACGAGCCGTGCAGGAGTTTCTGGGTAAGTGAGAGAGACGTTTTGTTTTCTTCAACCATGTTGATGGCCTGATTGCCATACATACATAAGCTGTCTGCAGATATGTCGCGCATGGGAGTTGTCCTGCTGTGGAATGGTGCTTACGAGACATATAGACCAAGGATGCAAAGTCACTGCACTAGATCTTAAGCCTTTGGAGCTTGCCCACGCACCAGCCGACGTCTACGCACGACTCCACATTCTCCGAGGCGATATCACCGACGAGGAGTCTATTCGCTCGAGCGTGTCGCAGGCCGGCAAGCGCTTCGGGCCGATCAACATCCTCATCGCCAACGCCGGCATTACCGATGAGAGCAGGGACTACCCGATCTGGGAGCTGCCCTTGGAAGCCTGGGAACGGACGTACCACGTCAATGTGCGCGGGACCTTCCTCACCATCAAACATTTCCTTCGATCCGCACAGCTGGCGCAGCAGACGCTGGGCAGGGAGTTGGACAACCTGGCCATTGTCGTGACCGGCAGTGAGACGGGCAAGTTTGGTCAAGAGGCTGGGAAGGCGGGCTTGCAGTATGGACTGGTAAAGAGCGTGAAGAATGAGATTGTTCGGCTCAATAGCCAGGCGAGAATCAACGCCGTTGCTCCGGGGTGGGTGGACACGCCCATGATCGAAGGTCGGCTGGAGGATCCGAAGGAGATGTGGGCCGAGGCTCAGGCAACGTGAGCTTAACCTCTCCCTGTGCGAGGAGCTCAAGGAGGTCGCTGACTTATGTGATAGCGTGCCATTGAGGAGGGTTGCTAAGCCTGAGGATGTGGCTCGTACCATGGCTTTTCTGGCCTCCCATCGCGCAGCTGGGCATATCTCAGGACAGTGCTTGAGTGTCGACGGCGGCATGGAGGGGCGTCTGGTTTGGAAAGAAGGCGATGAGCCGAAGAAGCTGACGGCTGAAAGTACGGTGCTTCCGATCGCCTCGTCCATCCCACCAGCCTTGACTAAGCCGAAGCGGAACAAGATTCGCATTGCCGTATCCATCGATTTGGATGCGGTCTCTGGATGGCTAGGAACGGGTTCGTGACTTCCAACTCCTAAATTGTGTTGCATGCTCATCTTTCCTCTTCGCACACCACAGGGCAACATCCAGACAACATTCTAGCCGATTACTCGGCCGGGTTCTTCGCAGCCCGAGTCGGTGTCCCGCGACTGGTACGCATGCTCAAGAAGCTCAATCTTGCGGACCGCTGCACGTGGTTCATCCCCGGCCACTCCGCGGAGAGTTTCCCCGACGAGGTCCGGCAGGTGGTCGAGTCGGGCTGCGAGATCGGTCTGCATGGCTACGCCCACGAGGGCGCCTACCAGCTCACCGTCGAGCAAGAGCGAGACGTCCTGGTCAAATGCATCGAGATTGCCACCAAGCTCACCGGCAAGAAGCCCGTCGGGTACCGGGCGCCCCTGTACCAGCTGCGCGAGTCGACGATGGATCTTCTCGAGGAATTCGGCTTCGAATACGGTCTGTCCCCCACCGTCCGGTCCGTGTATAAAATGCTGACATGGTTGTTGCAACACAAAACAGATGCCTCCCTGACCGACCACGACTGCCATCCGTTCTTCGCTCCGCGTCGTCCTCCGCTCGAGCCCATCAACTTCGCCCGCCCCGCCTCGACCTGGATGCACCCGATCCCGCAGACCACCGCGGACCGTCGGCCGCTCGTCTGCGTCCCCTGCAACTGGTACATGGAGGACATGACCCCGATGCAGTTTTTGCCGCACGCGCCTAACTCGCACGGCTACACGGACGTGCGGGTGATCGAGAACCTGTGGAAGGACCGCTTCCTGTGGATCCGCGAGAACGAGGAGGAGCCCATCTTCCCGGTGCTGATGCATCCGGACACGAGCGGGATGGCGCATGTCATTGGGATGTTGGAGCGGCTGCTGCGCTGGCTGCAGGGCTGGGGGGAGGAGGTGGAGTTCTGTCAGACCGGGGAGATTGCCCGGTGGTATCGGGATAAAGAGATGGGAGCATCCTCTTGAACATCTGACATCTGTTAAGTCGTCCTGTTGAGAGACACTTGGGATCGAGTATAGTATCTGCGAAAGCAAGATGGTGGAGACCATGCTCACCCCAGTAGACGTGCTGCATGTCCAGGGTTGTGGTCCATTTTCGGCCTTTCTCAAACGCGTGGCTCAAATACACACGCAGAGCACATATTCGTCTTATATCCGAAACCAGGAATCAGATAGAGCCGGTCCTCAACAGCATCAACGCCCAAGTAGGGTCATAGCGCTACCTATAGTTTAGTAAGAGTCCCGTAGTTGCTCACAGTTATACTCCCCCACCCCAAAAGGGCAACCCCGAATCTCATCTATCACGTGATCGCGCGTTGCGTCCCGGCGCGTCCCAATCCACGCCCTGCATCAGCAACAGCGGCAAAACACCTCTTCGACAAAACACCCTCCTCCCTGCTCCTCGGATCCAAAGGCGCCATGGTATTCAAACCTTTCAAGTCGCCTTTGATCCGCAAGCCCCTTCCCTCCGCTCCCGCGACTACTCCCGATGTTGTCGCTACAGATCCTACTCCCAAAGCCGACGCCACAGCAACCACAGACCCCACGGGGGAACCGCCGACGAAAAAGCCGCGCCTCCATCTGGATCCTGCGGTAACGGGGATCGAGAACCGGGGACTTCTCCCAAGTGCCTCGACCGGATCACAACAGCCGAAGAAGCGAGGGACATTGTTGTGCTTGGCGCGGGAGCGGTCTGCTTCGTCTACAACTTCCTCCCTGTCGTCTCGGGGGTCGGAGAATGATACATCCAAGGTGAAGGGGGCGAGGGAAGAAGGCGCGCGGGCCGGGGCCGGGAGGGGTAGTGAGGACGGAAAGGCGACGACGGGCGAGGTCCGAGAGAGGTATTTTAATGTTTTGTGGTGAGTTCGCATTCGCTTTTTACGTTGACTTTCCATGTCTCTGTCCTTTTTATGGGTTGTTGTGTTTCTACAGACGCGGAAGTGATCGAGCAGGACTAATCCTCGCTTTTTTTGTGCGTGTGTGAATAGGCGCAAAGTCACGACCAAGAAAAACAAAACCTGGGATGGGGATGGGATCATCAAGGTCCGGGATGGGTATGCGTATATGTTCGATCATGCCTCCGGGAAGGATATGGGGCGCGGGATGGTATCGCAGACCCGGTCGTTGGAGGCAGGCGTGATGTTGTCGGTTGCGGGGAAGGAGGTCGAGATCGACTGTGAGGTCTCTAGGGGAGAGTATCTGACTGGGAGGGGTCTGTCAGGTGCTGAGGAGAAGGAACCGGCTGTCAATACTAATGCTGCTGTTACGAAACCTCCGGCTACAGCAGCGGCTGGGAAGGCTTCCGTGTCGGTTCGGAGCGCGGGCCTCAACACCAAGGGGGAGATGGGCAAGGAGGATGAGTCTTCCAAACCGAGTCCCATCCGGATCGCGAACCCGGCGTCTAGGAAGGGTGGCATCTCTGGAGCGTACAAGAGGCCACTGCTGGATTCCGCGATGGTACCACAGACTTCCGCCTCAACAGAGATGCCAGTGCCCCGGCATGACCCTGCGCAGCCGGGAGCGTTGGTCATGAAACGCCCGGATTCGGTGCCCAACGGCAAGAGAGTCGTTGATGTGGTCGTCGATCCGATCCTGGCGAAACATCTTCGGCCGCATCAACGCGAGGGAGTCCAGTTTCTCTACGAGTGTGTCATGGGGATGCGCTCGTTCAATGGCGAAGGCGCGATTCTAGCGGACGACATGGGCCTTGGCAAAACGTTGCAGACCATCGCCCTCTTGTGGACGCTGCTGAAGCAGAACCCCGTCTATGGGGATTCCCCAGTTGTAAAGAAGGCGCTCATCGTCTGTCCGGTGACGCTGATCAGTAACTGGCGCAAGGAGTTTCGCAAGTGGCTCGGCAATGAACGCATCGGGGTGTTCGTTTTTGACGACAAGCGCAAGCGGCTGACGGATTTTACTAAGGGCAAGGCGTACAGTGTCATGATAGTGGGTTACGAGAAGCTGAGGACGGTGCAGGAGGGACTGGCCAGAGGCAGTGGCGTCGATATCATCATCGCCGATGAAGGACATCGCCTGAAGACCCTCCAGAATAAGAGCGGACAGGCCATTCAGTCCTTGAATGCCACCAAGCGAGTCATCCTATCTGGAACCCCGATCCAGAACGATCTCAAGGAGTTCTTCGCCGCCGTCGATCTCGTCAACCCGGGCGTCTTGGGCACTTTCAAGGCCTTCATCAAGGAGTTTGAAATCCCCATCGTCAAGAGCAGACAACCCGAAGCCACCGAGGAAGATATCGAGAAGGGCGAAGCCCGCAATGAGGAGCTCCGCGAGCTCACCTCCAAGTTCATGCTGCGCCGCACGGCCGACATTCTGGCCAAATACCTCCCGCCCAAGTCCGAGTACGTCCTCTTCTGCAACCCGACGCGCACGCAGGCCAACATCTACCAGAACGTGCTGGCGTCGCCCATCTTCCAGAGCGTGATCGGCAACTCCGAGAGCGCGCTGCAGCTCATCACCATCCTCAAGAAGCTCTGCAACAGCCCGTCCCTCCTCTCGCCCAAGGCCACCGACGACAAGGAGAGCTCGTCTAATTCGACCATCGCCGCGCTGCTCGCCTCCCTGCCTCCCAACCTCCTCCGACACTTCTCCCCGTCCTCGAGCGCTAAGATCCGCGTCCTCGACCAGCTCCTCCACCACCTCCGCACCACGTCCCGCGCGGAGAAGATCGTCCTCGTCTCGAACTACACCTCAACCCTCAACCTCCTCGCCACCCTCCTCTCGTCCCTCTCGCTCCCCTTCCTCCGCCTCGACGGCTCCACCCCCGCCCAGAAACGGCACGCCCTCGTCGAGGACTTCAACCGCCTCCCCCCGGACCTCTGCTTCGCGTTCCTTCTGTCCGCCAAAGCCGGCGGCACGGGGCTGAACCTCATCGGCGCCAGCCGCCTAGTGCTCTTCGACGTCGACTGGAACCCGGCCACCGACCTCCAAGCGATGGCGCGCATCCACCGCGACGGCCAGAAGCGGCCGTGTCGGATCTACCGGATCCTGTTGAAGGGGAGTCTCGAGGAAAAGATCTGGCAACGGCAGGTGACGAAGCTGGGTCTGGCGGACAGCGTGATGACGACGACGGCAGCGGCGGCGACGACGACGGCATCGGATAGTGCCGGTGCTGCTACCTCATCGTCATCAATGGCACAGTTTTCGCGCGACGAGCTCCGGGATCTGTTCCGATTAGACGAGGAGAGTCGATGTCAGACGCATGTGTTGTTGGGATGTGAATGCGGAGGGACTGGTCAACCGCAACAACAGCAACAACAACAAGCGTCTCTCGAGACGGCGGATAATGATGATGAGGTGGGAGGAGAAGTGGAGGAGGAGGAGGAGGAGGAGGGGGGGGACACCGTGCCCCCGTCTGACGCGGAAGCAGAAGCAGAAGAAGATGCAGACGCAGAGGAGTTCCCCGACATCCCCACCCTCATCAAGGCCTCGCAGCTCGACATGGAGAACCATGTCCCAAACACGCGCAGGACTTCCTCCCGCCGTCAACCCCCCGCCAACCCCTCCCCACCGCCTCCCCCCCAAAGAAAACCCCCCTCCCAGAAACAGCGGATGAAGCAGTCCCTCGCGCAGTACCGCCACATCGACCCCTACCACCTCACCGCCCCGGCCGACGATGACGACGCGGCGAAATCCCTCGACGTCGTGGCCATGGAATCCGTCATCGACGATGAGGTCCTTGTGGCGATGCTGCGGGACGAGGGGAACCGAGTGGGGTATATCTTCAAGAAGTCGAGCGGTAGCTCGGGAGTTTAGAAGGCCAGGGTATAGATCCCCGTATCCCGTCCGCAGAAGAAGGGGCCCGTCTCGATCTAAAGATCCATGGGACCCTAGGCTTTTGCCGTCTCTGTTCGGGGGTTTTAAATCCCGATGGTATAATTAATCGATATGAGGCTACGAAAATGGAACCGGGGACTTTTTGGAAGGGTATTGGGGGTATGTACTGTATGTATATAGAGAAAAGTCTTATTTCTTAGAGGGTATAAATATCGAGATATATCCGTTTCTTTTGTTTTTTCCTTGGCTTTTCTCCCGCTACTAAATGTATGATGCTATGCTTCATTGGTCACGTTCACAAGTGCAGGAGTAGCCGAGGGGAGAGATGCCGATGCAGAGAAACTTCATGAGCCTTAATTTTTACTGCTCCCAAGTCTAACAATTCTAGGATAATACATCTCTGGGATGCGAGTACACAGATCGTTTAATAATCATTGAGATGTGCATAGTGAATACTAGAAGCTAATTACAGACAGCTTCCAAAATTGGGGGCATAAGCAAATGGGTATGAGATTGGGGTATGCGCGGAAATATTCAAAGCAGGGACACAAAGAAAGACGAGTCAGGACATGCAGCAAGACAGGAGAGCACATAACAGAACGCTGAAAATCAGGGCATGCTGTTCATAAAGTGAGGGAGGGAGGGAGAGAGAGAGAGAGAAATGGAAAGATAGAAAGATAGAAAGATATCTGGCTTGAGGTAAGTATTCAATATGATAAGGGAAAAGCAAAGAAAAAAAGAGGGATAGGTGGTCTCAGCCAGCGATGAACAAAGTCCATCTAATACTTGGACTTCCCAACAAGTCCAAACGTGTACGCGGCCTCGGCTTCGCTCTTCATTTGGATCATGTAGATTCGCGAGGATCCCACCATGACGCCGCCCTTCTTGGGCATGGCGCCGCCCTCGGTCTCTTCCCAGACAGAGACAGCGATACCGGTCCGGGCGACCCGCTCGAAGCAGCTCTCGCCGAGACAAACGTCCAAGAGCACCTCGCCGCGGGTCTTGCCCCGGATGAGGATGCGCTTCTCGGGTTCCGTCGTTCGACGGGGAGATGCGGCCCCGGAGCCCGGAGGACTACCGTCCATGCCTTCCGAGAAAGTGTTCGAATCACTTCGGCCGGTATCGCGAGGTTCCGGAGGCGCAGGCATGATGGTCAGTCTGGCAGCGCCCATGTCGCGCCATTTGGACTGCGTCTCACGCATGTAGAGCCGGATCTTGGCGTTGGACAGCCCGATTCCGTCCACGCCCTTGATGGCGGCGGCGATGCGGCCGATGCCCGATGAAGGGGATGCATTAGAGCCGAGCGAGTCAGAGTAGAGGCTGTCTTCTTTCTGACCATTGCGAGACGTCAGGGATGAACGGGAGATGTTAAACATCTTGCTTCCGGCGCCAAAGCGCTTGAGGGCCGAGAAAGCACTGCTCACGGTCCCCACGCTGCTGTCGGAATTGTCGGCCTGCGACCGTGGGGAGGTGGTTGCACGATAACTTCTCCTGCGTCGAGGCCAACCGAAAAGACCGCCGGTCCGACTGGGAGACTCTTCTGGAAGAGGTTGGTCGGCATACGGACCTCTAGCATTCTGCAAGGCAATGTAGGTGGGATTGTTGATGCGCGCGTGGTTGATTAGTCCATACAAGACTTCGCATTCATCTGCGTTCCGTGAGCGGAACATGATGTTGTTACTCCAGTTGATCTTGGACCGTTTGGTGGGTGGAGAGCGGATGCTAATGTCAATGGCTGTACCACGTCGGATTGGAACAAGGGGGGTAAGCTCAAGCGCAACAAGCGGGCGGAGCTTTGTTATTGTGGCCTCATCCTCAACGCCCATGGGAGCGTCGCTCATATTGTACGCTTCAATGAGACCTGGGCTAACGATGACCTTGCACTCATCGGGGAATATACTTTCCCAGGAACCCTTGTCGGACCAGGCGAAGACGGCAGCGATAGCAGCAGACGATTTGGCGGGCTGCGACGGAACAGACCTATACCCGCCCTCAGATGCTGCATTCGTCAAGGACAGGGAACTGCTGGCAGAGGTCATGACGGAGTCCTGCACATGGGACTTGGAAAGATGGCGGGCTGGCAAAGACACAAGTTCATCTTCTGTGTCGTCGTCGGAGCTGTCCGTTGCCGAGTATTCTGACCCCGACTGCATGTCATAGCGCCGCACAGTTGACGTGTCAGAATCTGAGTAAGAATCTGAAGCGGTGGACGGCTCATATTCATGTTTCAAGGGCGATGATCCGCGGCGCTTGAGGCGTACATTGCTTGGGCTTAGCACTGGCACATCGGAAAGACTTGAACCGGTCGAACTTGGTGAGCGAGAATGCGGTGGCGGTGCCGGAGGCTCCTCCTGGTCCGAATCTGAGTGCGCTCGAGAGTCACTCTTGTTTCTTGTTGGGGACTCAGCAAGATAGAGAGACTCGATCGCGGAGTATTCGTCATCTGACGTAGATGCTAAGGAATCGGAGATGTATGTCTGACTACTGCCTCTTCTGAGCTTAGGGATCACAGGCAGGTCCATTGATGGCACGGAGGACAGCCTTCTATCCGGCATCGGCGGCCTTTGAGGGCGATCTTGTTCTTTGGGCTTCTTCTCCTCGGGACGTTTGGGTTCTTCGAGTTCTCGGGCCTTCCCCTTGTCCTGAGCTGGTTCCATGGGAGTAGTCGGAGTACTTTCACCATAACGCGAAATTCTCTTGGCCTTGGAGCGTTTCAGTCCGTGGGGTCTGTCATCGCTGGTGAAACTCTTCCGCGGCTCCCTAGCATGAAGGATAGGCTGAGATCGAGGCGAATCTCCCATAGCATAATCTGAATCTCGCGTGATTGCGGTGTGCAACGACGTATACGAGTCGTTCGCCCATGAAGACCCGACGGTACTCGGGTCAGAGAACTGATCTCTTGGGGTCAGAGATCGACGCTTAGTCCGGATTTCAGCCTTTTCTCCGATCGGTATATGAATGTTCGTAGGACTTGGAGGGGCTCTCTGTGTCTGGGAAGCTTCAGTGGAGGATGAAATTGTTTGTGCTCGTTTCCGCTGCTTGGCTCGGTCGATAAAGCTCTGGGTGCGACAGATGGCTGGTGGAACAGGGACTAGGCCTAGCATCTGGACCCATTCATTTCCAATCTCCTCCTCATCGATCTGTAGAATGAGGAGCTCCTGCCATGGTTTCTCGTGCCCTGGAGCACTTCGCAACATGACGACAATCTCACCTTTCGTATCACCGTTCCGAGCAGAGACACAGCCCAGCGCTATGGGCGGAAACAGTAGCCAGCGATCCGTATGATCAATCTCACAGATTAGCAGATCACCGTCTCCTCTGTTTTGCGCGGTTGCATCTCTCAGGAGAAGTTCTGCGCGACAATCGATCACTTGCCCACTGGAATGGTAGAGAGATAGATTGAAAAAATCACGGGCACGAACTCGTCGAGATCTGTCCACAGTGACCTCAGTCAAAGTACCCAATGTTGCAGGATCTCGCGCGCGGGTTGCATCAATGCTGGCAGCCGATTCGTCTTCAAGCCTTGCTCTTTCTTCCCTCGCACGACGACGAGCTTCTGTCACCAAGGTCTGATAACCCGAAGCAACTTCCTCCGCTTTTGGGGATGGTTGCAGCGTCTTAATCCCCTTGAACGTCTTTGCAAGGTATTTCAGGCGAACAAGTGGTCGTTTCAAAAGATAAGCAACATCGACTTTTTCGCCGTCACTGTCCACAACATCTCCGTTTTCGTCCCTTGCCATGCCTTCGTCCAGGCTCTTGGTGTCGGCGTTTTCGCCCCCTTCTCCTTCCTCCAGGGGCGCAAGGTTCACTATAACGTCCTTGAATCCTAGTCTCCACGCCTTGAGATACTCGCGATAGACCCTTTGTGCCCCCTGTGCCCAGTTGAGTAGTGCGTCGACATTTTCTTCGGGGATCCGCTTGTGCAATGTCTTTAAACGCTCGATGGCGACTCCCATATCCACAATGGGCTTGCTGAAGTTGAGCTCGTCTTTAGGGTCCGTTGAAGGGCGGAAGAGACCAGCTGCAATAGCAGAATCAGACCGTGAAAGCACGCAAGTCAGGAGGACAGGAATCACACCGCCGACCAAAGTCTTCAGCTCACGCATGTACTTCGCTTCGTCGGCAGACAACTCCTTGAGTATGTCTGGAATAGTCTCCGATACCACGCGATTCTTCGTCTTCAAGCTCCTCGCAGATCGGAGGCTCCGGCTCCGGCTATTAGGGGCAGATAAAACCGAGATCAGATCATCATGGGTAGTAAGTCGTCTTTTGAGCTGGGACGAAACTACAGGGAGTGAGTTTGGGTCGAATGAGTCCCGTTCTTCATCGTCTTCCTTTGCCTTGGCTGACGAATCGTGTGCTTCTGCAGCTGCTGACGCTGTTGGATTGTCATCTCTGCTCATTGACTCAACAGATGCGATGGTAGACAGGGGATGTGCTCCGGTGGCAGGGAATGGTTTTGTGCGCCCAAGAGGTACAGGCGCATTATTGCCAGACACTTCCGAGCCCTCAGAGAGCGGCTGATTTCCGACCTCAGACACATCATCCCTCATATCACGAGGGCGGTCTCTGATAGGGAGCTCTTTGCCTCTTGACGACTGTCGACTGCCTGTGCTTTCACCATGTTTCTTCTTCGAAGAGGAACTACCATCTCTTTGAGATCCCGAGCTCACGACGGTTTCCTGCTTCGGCTTGGCCCGGTCGCTTGCCGGGGAACCTCCATCTCTCTTGCTTCGCCGTGAAGCTGCATCTTTGCGGGGCGTGTCACTATCCAGGGAATGATCCACATCGCTAGTGTGCGATTGTTCGGATTTTGCGGTCGATTTGTTGTCACCAGATCTCATCTTCAAAGGCGCTGGAATCTCCACGTCCGAGTCCATTCCTTCCCTAAAGGGGTCTGGGGTGTTGGACAGCCAGGCTTGAATCTTTGCGCCCCGGACTGGTGCTGGTTTGGGTGGATCAGGTTTGGAGAATATCTCTTTCGATGCATCGATCATATGCCCGATTATCCCCCCTTTGGGTGGTTTTGCAGCCGTACGGGCTTTGAGGGCTTCGAGACCAGGGCCTTTGGGACTAGGACCCTTTGACGCTGGATTGGGACCTCGTGCGCGACGTCTTGACAGTTCCGAGAAGTCCGCCTCGCTCGTCGCCCATTCTGAGTCGTCATCTAACGGCGCATCTTTGTACTTCGAACTTTGAGGCTGCTCTGACTTCGCACGAGTATGGCCTTTCGCCGTTGATGGTCGCGACGTCGATTTTGAGGATCCATTGAACGACGCAATTTCTTCCTCCGCCCGATTTTCTGGTATGGTGTCCACATCCCGCGATGCGCGGGACTTTCTCCGCTCCCTCGTCGCAATATCCGTGGAGCGATCGCGATCGCGACTTCGCGGGGGAGACGACATCCCGTCCTCATCACCCCCGGCCTTGTGCGGTGGCCGCAGTGCATCGTTTGTTGTGTACTGGGAGATGCGCTTGGGGGCTGGAAGTTTCGAGGTCTTGGCCTGCGTGGGCATCCGATTTAGCTTCCAGTGCTCGTCACTAATGACCCGCTTTCGTGGAGTGCTTTGGCTTCGCATCCTCGATACTACTGAGCCATTGGAGCTACCGAGGGAGGTGTCAAGGGCCAGTTTGGGCTTGGCTTCGGCGGCGGAGTTGTTCTCCTCCTCATCGTCGTAGTAAACACCGTCATTGGCGGTAATGACCCCACCTCCTTGTTGCTGCCATTTGCGCACTTTTTCTCGTACAGAGTTTGTGTCGTAAATTCCCAAGGGCCGACCGATATCGAGGGGCTTCGTCTTCGTGGGAGACACTTTGGCGGCTCCCCCACGATTGGAGGGGCGCTGCGGATTGACAGGAGATGGCATGGAAGTCTACAAGCGCGGTCGAATGTTAGCATATCATGTGGTAGCCTCTCCATTGGAGCTGTGGACGGTGGCTGGTGTGATTGAGTCGAAGGCGTGAAACCGTGGGCCACGGCAACCCGCCGACGTCACTGTTGGTGTTTTGTTTATGAGGGGAAGGGGAAGCTCACAAAGTGAAGATCAGCACAACAGCTCATGCATACCCTGGCGGACAACAACAGGGACTTGCCGGGAATAAATGGATCGAGAAATTATGGGCGGGATCGTCGAAAGAAATTCGAATCGAAAGCAATAGAAGCGAACATTCCACCAGGGAAGACGAAAAAGCAGGCGAGCGCGAAAACAGGCGGTCAAAAGCAGATCGGGTCTCTGTTGCGGTCCTCCACCGGCCGGACAATAACCACGACGATACCAGCAATAAGTTGGCGGAATTGAGTTTTGGGAGATAAGTCAGGGTAATCCTCAGTCATTTGCCCGCTATGACTGCTCAATGAAATATCACACACCCATTCGGTGATAAGAATGGGCGACCGAACAAAGTGAGAGGAGGAGGATGAATGAATGAATGAGGGGGGAAAGCGGAGGGGAAAGAATTAGTTTAGTCACTGGTGGAGTTGAGTGTATTGCACGGAGCACTTGAGGTTGCCCTGTCTGTTCGGTCTGTGTAGTCACTTACGTTAGTCTGTGTATACTACTAACCTTAGACTCTCCCGGGAACTATCTTTTTGGCAATCGCTGGAAAACCGCAGGCTGCCCGGGAAACCGAAGCGCAGAACGAATAACCAACCAACCAACTCATCATTCGGATGACTTACTTTCATCAGATCACACTGGCGCCCAACTCAAGCCAATCAGTTGCTGGAGCCAGCCAACAAGAAGGCAATGCATGAATACTTCAGTATAACTTAACCCAAAAGTTCTCGTCAGGCTGGATGAACCCGTGGTGTGCTGAAAGCTACTATGCTTGTTGCGACCGGTGGTTCGTTCGTCATCCATCAGGTACACACGCACGAGGACGACGGGACTGATCAACCCTTTAATACCACGGAAGGATGAGCGAGGGTCTGGGTCTGGCTTAACTCTCCTGCTGCAAGGTTGTGGTCATGGCTTGCTGCTGGCTGATGATATCTACAGTGGTTTTGTCCCACGCCTGGCCCCAGGCTCGCCTTCTTCCCTCCCCCTCCCCTCCCCCTCTCCCGGTCCCAGCGTCCTGCACGGACGCCACGAAGTATATCCTACGAGTTTTTCTCCCTTATAAAGAGTCCTCCTGACCCAGAACACATGAGGCAGTCGATCTTACTGTGTTCTCGCATCCATTTTCGTCACTTTCTTCGGCCAGGATAGAAGGCTAAGCTCCTCCCCACGTCCCCAACTTAGTAGGCAATAGGCTATAATCTGCCTGGCCGGCGAACAAGCAAGAATCAGGATGCCTAGGACGGTCCACTACGCGTCAGAGTGGGCCAAGAGGGATAAAATCACTGCATTCTGACTGACTATCGATTGCTATTCTCTGCGTTGTCATGCAATTTGTGCTAATTTGTTTTCCCGGTCCTCACTGTGCTGTCAACCCGTCACAACGACGTGGGTGAGATCGAGAGAGATCCGAGAGATCCCCTCAATCCGAGCAATGATGGCATGTCTGATTCCCGGCCGGAATGTTGATCCCACGCGGGAAAGGGGGCCTGCCTACGCTAAATTAATTCCTGATGCGCTTCGTCTGCCCAGCCTAGAACCACCCGGGCAGCAATCGGGGCTAGCGAGGCTCGCGGTGTCTGGTTTCCCCTCGTCTCCAAACCGCCCGGATCTTAATGACATCATCAGTCCCTCTAGACTCATCGCTCTTTGTGTTGCCGCGAACGTTCTTTCAAGGCGTCGAAGGCTGCTGATATCGCTCGTATGCTCTGATAGAGGTAATCTATCCCTTGTCAGTGCCCATCTACCAGTTACCAGGCCAAAAAGACCGGACCCATCCACACGGGCAACTCACAGAATGGAACCACGATCCAAATGAAGTTCATAAAAAAGTAATAGACCCAGAAATAGAAAGCTTCCGGGCGACAATAGGCGATTCCATGCACGTAATGGTCGAAGAGGCTCGTGGCATAGTAGAGACTGTCGCCATAGAGATGGCTCATGCAGACAATGATCTGAAAGGGGTGGCGCAGTGAGTGTTGAGTCGCGGTCAAATATGCGACCAAGAAGCACAACGGGCCCCAGACCAGCTATGATACCGGTCAACGAACACACATTCAGCTAGCATTCGGCGCACAAGCAGGCTATCCCGGCCAAGGATAGAGGAAGAAGGTCGGACCTACCACGGTGATGGTCTCCATGCAAAGAACAAGCGTGTCGGAAGTCATGTACCGCGAGTCCGATAAGGCATATTCTTTCCAGAGCTGCCCAAAGAAGTCTTGAGCGGATGCCATGTGGTCATGATGGACCATGAAGTATCCCTCGAAGAAGCAGTGTATGCATCCCGCTAGAGGTTATGTTTGCATGTTAGCGCACCGTGGGGGTTTGGTGGTTATTCTACCCTGTGGCTGCTGCTATAAAAGCTGAGGCGAGTCTTACAGAGCGCAAACCACAGAATGGCAATTCGATCTCGGGTTTGTGTTTTCGGTCGTCTGAAGCCGGTCAGCGTCCAGATAGCACCCAGCAAGGCTGTCGCACCCAGGCTGGCAGTGGCCATGATACGGAGCAACGGAGCCTCATTGGGCGCGTAGTCCTTGATGAGCGCGTCGATGGGATAGAACGGATGAGAGTGAGTCTGAAGTTCCATCTTGATCAATTTTGCAACTGTGTGCGATTAACGTGAGATCCTTGAGGGAGATTCTACAGGATTGTAAACACCGAAGAACCAAACAAATTCAATGGAACTGAGAAGTCGCATCTCGGGCGGAAAATATGTATTGGACTTAACACCGGGGTCTCCCTCGATTTTCCTTTTCAACAGGGATACGTCTATATCTTTATGCACTGATACACGGCCAATGAAGTATTCATCTTCGTCCCCTCCCTAGCATCAGTTCCTACCTGGCAGTTTGACATGTGTCCTATTCCTGCAGCTTCTATAATTATTTTCTACTTGATCACTTTTGAGCCTCGATTGCGAGATCCATGATCGGCCATAATATCTCCAAATATGGTTAGCCAGCCACGGGATTACCCGCTAGCCCACTCTGGCTAGAGCTGTAAACCTGTAAACCTGTAAACCTCAGGCCACCACTTCCAGCTGTACGGAGACAGTGAGTAAGTTACTAACTTACCGACTCCGTCTCCAACCAACTGCGACAAGCTAGCTAGCTACTCCGTATCTTGCTCTTGTTCCCTTTCCCCCTCAATCGGCCACCTACCTCGGTCGCCCTCCTGGTTGACCATCCCATGGAGACTTTCACTCTCTTCTTTCCTTCTTCTTCTTCTTCTTCTTCTTCCCCCTGCCACATACAATCCCGCAATGGCCCCTGGTCCGTTTAGAAGGAAGCCCTTGGGTCTCGATGTGCCCCGCACCGTTGCGGTCGAGTCGCCGCCTGGCATTGCGGCACTCTTCGTCATTCGTTTCGACATCAAGGCTGGGTGAGTGCCCGCCGGCTTCTGTGATGCATACTCACATTGCAATGAGCTCGTACTGACAGTTTATTTCTAATGGAGTTACGTGATATCCTGGAAACGAACAACCCCTGGGGGTGAGTGATAGCGACAGCATCTCCGAGGAGCGCCCGAGCTTACCCGATCGACCAGTTGATATCGAAGGGGCCGTGGAATATAAATCACTTCCCTCCGGCCTACACAATGTGTCAGAGGACTTGGTGTAAGTGGCGATTTGAATTCATGATGTGTGTCGACCGCGTGCTTACGCACCCTCGCTCCTTCCAGGTACTTCATCCACGAGCAATATGCTGGCATCAGTGCTTTCGTCAATTGGCCTGCGGAGGAGGCAGAGCGCAATGCGAAGATGTTCGCCATTGGAGTCCTTGTGCCCTTGAGCTCAGGGAGGCTGGGAAAGAGCTGGAGACATGCGCCGAAGCTCAAGGAATTGGCACAGTGAGTGATCTTGACCCACTTGCGGGTGTCGCAATGTACCATGTACCTCTGACATTTGCGATCGCTGTAGGAATTATGCCCAGGACATGTCCAATACCCAGCCACTTGCAGAGTACTGGGAGAATCTCCAGACTCGCGAAAGTGACTTGTCTGCCATGCCTCCCGATTCTCCATTAGAATCTCCGCTCAGCTTCCGCCTGAGGGCCCACGGAGACCGAACTGACAGCATACATCGGGGTCGCGCATTTAGTGATGCGATCATGTTGGAAACGCCCAGGCCGGCCCTGACGCCCTTCCACCCTGCTTCTTCCCTTTCTAATTTTCTCGACTCATTTGGTCCCCTTATTTTTCCCCTCTACAGAGCAGTCTTGCTGCGCAAGCGGGTTCTCTTCATGGCGGAGCCGCCAGTCCATGTGCCTTGCGGTTATGGTATGCTCATCCGTCCCTCCCCTCGTGTTGCTGCTAACAGCTGTCCCAGTATATGATTTGTCTCTATTGGCCTCCTTGCCTAATTCTCTCCTTCCCCTGCTTCCTCAGAATGGGCTCCCTCCTCCCCGACCGCGTTCTCTGTTCAACGTGGGCATACACGATATCCCTTACCTTTCTTCCTTCGTGGGCGTTTCCCCCAATGCCGACCACGACTCAGCCTGGATCGCTTGCAGCACGGACAGCGTCCTAAGTGTGAAGCCCGAACTCTTCGATGTTCTAGTCACCTTACCGCCCCCGCATTCCAGGAACGCGGCGGAAAAGGTGTTCCCCACCGTATCTATCTTCCATACCCAGCCCGCCAAGGGTAAAACGCCTCATTCAGTCGTTCTAAAGGCGACTCAGCGGGATGCGCGACGCTATTACACTCTCCGCAAGGGGCTCCGCCACGTTTCCCAGAACGAGGATGCCCGAACGGACACTGACGACGATTCCGACGCTGCATCCACCTACTCTTCCAGTCCTATAGTCGAGCCCCTCTCCTGGGCTCGCCTGGCATACACCTCCTTCATCTGGTGGGCGTCCGCGGGCGAGAAGCGCGATGGTCTATCCGAAGAAGAGGAAGAAGAGCACCAGATCGAGCAAGACACGCGCCTCCTCGTCAGCGTCGAGACTCTCCCCAGCCCTCCCCTAGGCTCCGTCGGCCGTCGAAGCATCCAGCCCCACGAGTCCGCGCAGCAGCCCCCGGAGATCGCCCTGGTCGCATACTTCCGTCGCCTCACCACCCAAATCTTCGTCACCTTGTCCGACGTGATCGCCCGCCACGACAGCCGCAACCTCCCGGACGACGAGGACAACGACGAGCTCCTCCCCGACGACGACGAACAACCGTACGAAGACGACGAGCCGGACACCGACCCCGACCCCGCCCTCGCCGTCGGCCGCCAATCCCCCCAAGAAGACGACTTCCGCCGCCCACTCCTCGCGCGGCAATCCTCCGAGTGTGCCGGCGGCAGCACCCAGGAGGAGGACCCCACGCCCGTCAAGATCACGTCCGAAGACCTGACCGAGATGGGCCTGGACGTGTGGAGCGCCGCCGACCGGGTCTTCGTCGAGGAGCTCGTCATGCTCTGGTGGGGTCGCAAGGCGTACGTCGACAGCGCCCGGATCAGATGCTGTGGGATCTCCCTCCTATAGGATTGATTTGCTTGTACTGTATTTACTGCCGTGATACTCCCAGCCATCTTTTTCCTGCTTCCCGTCTGTTTTTCCTGTCCAGCCCTGATGCGCACAAAAGACATAGTATATATTCGTAGTAAATCACTTCTATAGAGGCATAGTTTCTCCCTCGTCAGGGTGTACTGTACGCGCGAGTCAAACCCACAAAAGTTCTTTCCACTTGCCACTCGATCCCAGAAGCATCGACCGGGCCATTTGTATCTGTCTAACCTGCATAATAACTGAGCGATGTTTCTAAGTATAGCTTGTAGGTCACATGGGATAACAAAAAGAGGAGGAACAGGAGATATAGCCAAGCGAAGAAATGTTCACACGCACGACCGCATACCAGACAAAGGAAATGTTACAGACGAATCTGAGAGAAGAGAGTGTGAGAGCATAGACAGACACCTGAGTCCGGGTGCTGAGCTTTGGTGGAATGGCAAAATGAAAAAAAAAGGTTGATTTCATGAGACTAGACAAAACAAACAAAATTTCACCAGGAATATTCATCAAGATCTTTTGGAGACGTGCCATGATTGCCAAGAACGAACAAAACCACAAAAAAAAAGCCCAATCTCCCCAAAAAACGCCATGCCACTCGGAGTACCGGGGTATCAAGAGAGAGAGAGAGAGAGAGTTGAGTCATTAAGCTAGAGTTCTGAGGAAGAGGTGTAGGGGGAAGAGGGAGGCAGGATAAGATTGCGTCTGAGCCCGCATGGATGGGATAAGAGAGGGGTTAGTGGTAGGAGGACATGCGGATGGGAGCACTTATATCACGCCGATCCCGGACAGAGCCATCGCTCCGGGCTTCTGTGTGATGAAGACCAGGGATGCGCCGTGCGGATCGGACGGGGGTGACGCCCATCCCGCCGGAGCGCAGGGCACTTTCCCCAGCACTGATGGAGCGCTTGATCGTGTTCGTCCTGCCTCGACGCGCTCGAATCTGTGCCAGGGCTTCTTCCCGGCTGATGGGAGTTCCTGGGACGTCAGGGAAGCGATTGGACGATGACTCGTCATCGGCTCGTAGAGGAATTTTCCTGAGGTCATCGGTCACTTGAGAGTTTCTGGCATCGCGCACCACGGGCAACACAGGATCCCACGGAACATCCACGACTACCGAGGACCGGTGAGTTTCAGGAGTGGAGGTTGGGATAAAGGCATCGCTTTCCATGATGGAATCAAAGGGCGTCTCATGTCTGTGGGTAGCATGCTTAGAGACAGGACTACCTGTCATCGCTGGAGCTTCAGCTTCGCTCTCAACTTCTGCCAATGGTGAATGTAGTGCATTCGCGGGGAGCTGCTTGCGTGGAGATCCTCGGACAGGCGAAGGGATTGTGTGGAAAGTGCCCGTGGCAGGCGAAAACGTGATAACAGGCTCCTCCGCAGGGTCATCGTCGTCATCTTCAGCATCTTCCACAATCTCTTGCTCGAACTCCTGAGCCTCCTCCAAGTCATCATCATCGTCCACTGTCTCTTCCAGATTCTCTTGTGTAGCGAAACCAGCAGGCTCGCCGACGGGCGTGTGCGATTCCACCTCGTCGTTTGTCGGGACGCCAATGTGATCTCCATGTTGCTCAGTACAGTGTTCGTGCTCCTTCTGTTCGGCTGCCTCGACTGTCCCCGCTTCATGCACATGGTCGATTTCCTCCGACTCGGTCAACCGGCATGAACAGCGCTTAAATTGACACTCGAGTTTGAGGAACTCAATTAAATCTTCGGCATCTGTTCTTAGCTGGCGCTCGCGCTTGAGGATCCGTTCGAGTTCTTCCACCTTGTCATGGTCCGCTGCTGACACGGTATGTTCCTGGACTTCTTGTCGGGGAGTGAGGTCTGATAGTCTCTGTCGCTTCGGAGGAGTTTGGTGTGCAGGCGACGGCTTTGTGGCATGGACCATGGGTGAGTTGACGGAATCTTCGGCCGATCGTTTGGGTCTCCGAGGCGTAGGGGTGAGCAGGAGGGCGAGATCGCCTTCCGCTAAAGACATTCGTCCGGCGCCCTCTTGGCTAAGCTTGAGGGTATGGGCTTTTAGGCTTCGCGACTTGATATTGGCCTCCGCAACGCGTAGCTGCTCTTTGAGAACCTCCATTTCCTCTGTAAGACCGGCGAGGGCGTATGCGCGCTCGAATGCCTCCTGTTTTGCCTGCTCTTTGGCTCGGCGCTCCGCCTGCACTTCCTCTTTGAGGGCTTTGGCCTCCGCCCGGGCATGTTTCAGGTCCTCCTGTGCCTTTACAACGACCGAGCCAGCGCGGAAAGCCTCCTTCCTGGCTTTTCTAATCTCCTTTTCGAAAACCGCCCTCTCGTGAGCCTGGCGTTCCTTCGAGGTTTGAAGTTCTTCGAGCAATGATTCCAGGCGTTCGCTGATACGTCGTTCGCGAGACTGGGCTTCTGCAAGGTCTGCGTTGGCATGCGCCAGAGCAGACTCCGCCTCTTCGCGTCCTAGGATGGCGCGCTGCAAGGCTGCCGAGTTGCTCGCCGTCTGTTGCTGATGAGCGTGGGCGGGACTGTTGCCTCGCGAGGAGAGACCGTTGAGATAAGCGACCTTGGATTGAACATCGGAAAGGCCCCTCGAGTGTGATCCTCGGAGGTTAAGGATGTTGGAAGTCAATGAAGAGTTGGGGGTGAACTGTTGATTCATGCGTTCGGGCGATAGGGGGTTCAGGGCCTTCGTCGGGCTCGAAAACGGGGAGTCCATGACGAACAATCTGTGTGTTGTGAGGGGGAGGGGAGTTTGATAGTCAGTTAAAGTGAGAACAGCAGTCGGTCTTCGATTCAGAACATGACAGTCATGCCCGAGAGGGGATGGATGACACTCAGTCGACGGTCAGATAGACAGACAGACGGACTGGGATTGAAAATGAACCCACTGATCTCCTCCTATCGGTGACGCACCCACTCTTTTTCCCGAGTCCCGCTTGTTTGTTGCCCGCCGCGTGATCACCTGACCGTTGCCCAGGACAACACGATTTAGCCGAGTTGGGCAAGCGGGGGTTCTAGTCTCAAAAAGGGAATGGTCTGTGCTGGCGGCGCATCGAAGCTGTGTGATCGTTGATGCGACAGATTGGGTAAAGTCTAGGCTCATCATGATCCATGAATATCGCCTGCAGCGCTGAGTTTGACAGTCGAAGATACATTTACGTAGCGCGAATCGGATGGACAATTGAATATGCATGAGATTATCACCCTACAGCTCGGTCAACGAGCAAATTATCTGGCTACCCACTTCTGGAATCTTCAAGTATGCTTCGACTGTGCCTGACCGAACTCTATCCTGGAATCCCAAGCTAAATCGCCAGCTAGGAATCTTACTTCACATACAATGAGGAGGAAGAGTCTCCCGTAGATCATGACGTTCACTTTCGCCCTGGTGTCGCAGCAGATGGCACAGAGACCTTCACTCCTCGAACTGTGATCTATGATTTGAAAGGGGGATTTGGCACTCTGCGCAAATACAATGCCCTCTACCAGCTGTCAGAGGATGCCAACCCTGGCCAAGGACTGTGGTAAGTGGTCATCCTCGCCGGAAACGTCGTTCCCAGGTTTTTTAATGCTCTGATGGTGCAGGGACGGAAAGGAGGTCCTACAGCAACAGACCCCCATCCTTCAAAGTGATTACCAGAAGAACCTGGATGCAGGACTACCCGCTCCCACGCTGTCTTCTGAGACGGTTCGATACTGGTCAGACTATAATCGTCTCTTCTACCACCCGCGATCAATTGTTCAGCTGAATGAGTACGAGCTGAACTCCAAGATCATGCCATTTGAGGACTGGGGGGTAGGGGAGGAACTCTTCCACGATCTCGACAAGGAGCATGATTTGTTAGATCGGGACCTGAGGCCCTTTGCAGAAGAGTGCGACCAAATGCGCGCAATCCAGCTTTTCACAGGCTCAGATGATGCATGGGGCGGCTTCGCTGCCCAATATGTCGACAGAATTCGGGATGAGTATGGCAAGAAGGCAGTCTGGGTGTGGGCTGTAGAGAATGGCCGCAAGGTTGACCGGGTGAGTCTTGATCCCTCTTGTTGGCTGGCCTGCACCATCCTCGCTGACCTCGGCAGCAAACCCAATACAAGCGTGATCTGAATAAGTCCCGGTCCATCTACGCTATTGCTCCGCAAGCCTCTCTATATACGCCTATCGTCGACCCGCCTAGCCGGCTGCCGTCAACAATTCACATCGACCCTCACTCCGAGTGGTACACTTCAGCACTGATCAGTTCCGCTTTGGAGAGTGTGACCCTTCCCACCCGTCTTCGCCCGTATCACGACTTTGAGGCCTCATTGGCAGGGGACGATGGCGTCCACAAGATCTTCGAGCTTCAGTCTACGATTGTGTCAGATGACGAGGCTGCCGAGCACTTCACTCAAGGACCTAAGGCCCACGCCGGTCAAGAAGAGAACACGGACGGTCCAAAGCCCCAGACGAGATTCGAACTGGACTTCACATACAACGGCCTTGGCAGCGACACAGCTCATATCTTCAATCAACTTCAAGTGTCGCGGGGCATAACCACCGAGCGGAAAGGCCAGTCCTCGGGCGAGGACGTGGGTACCGTGCGCCGGCAACGACTCTACAATTCCGAGCCCATGTTTCAGAGGTGAGGAGAAAGAGCTGATGACCTGTTCACCACGCCAAATACTGATTGATCATATCGATAGATTCCATGCGCCGCTGGCGTTCCCCATTTTGGATAGCTTCCCTCACAACATGTTCACTCTTCCCCGGGCGAAGGAAAAGGTCCAAGTGCTTGCCGCGTTGACCGCTTCCTCGCGGACGGCCGAGAAGCTTAAGGAGCTAGAGACGCTCGCCGGGCGAGTCGCACGAGTGGATGAGAGAGAGGCTCTAGTCAACGGGTTGGGTGAGATTCGGGAGTCGTATGAGACTGGTTGGATGAGCGACTCCGACTTTGATGATGACTAGACGTACGGAACAGGGAAGCATGAGACATGAATAAAAGCTATGTGCTGCATAGTACTGCATAGTAGACCCTGGAATTGGTGGGGATCCGCAGTGCAAACAAAGCGGGCGGTGTGCGGTGTTTGCATCATTCGGCCGGCCAAACGTGGCCTCTCCAATCGATTCATCGAACATTCGACTGGCATCTTCCTTTTACTACTCTGTACTCTGTCCTTGTTCACCATATTCTTACTGCCAGGTGGCCAGTATTCTAGAGTTTCGTTATCTTCTAGATGGCTCTGCGGAGATAAAAAGTGTCTTAGGTACCTCTCTTCTCCCCTCTCCTTCCATAGGTTGCTTTCGCCTTTCGGTAACCTCATCTGCCGTCATAGTTCACTCACTACCACTGCCACTAGCTTGCTAATTTCATGTTACTGTACCGATAGTTAGACTGTCACTCGCTTGCAACGACCAGATCAACCAGAGCACATCTGGTCACAGAGCTAGAGCTCGATAGATGCCAAGCGTTGCATTAAAGCGCCTCTCGAGGGTAGGCGACCCTTCCGCCGCAATCTGCTGATTTGGACGGGTGCTGACTTGCGTTCTCAGTAAACTCATAGATCATGGCTTCCAGAAGCCGTCAACGAACATATGGCTCCCTAAAGTCGCTCACATCCTCTCCCGTCCTCTCCTTCTTAATCGTTCCTTTCCTGCTGCTCTGTTTGAGCTTCCCGGCCCCCGCTGCTGGAGCGGGATCCGCCGTTCTCGGTCTTGATGTCGGCACAGAATATTTCAAAGCCGCCCTGGTCAAACCAGGAATTCCTCTAGAGATTGTTCTCACCAAGGATTCGAAGCGCAAGGAATCAGCCGCCGTTGCCTTCAAACCTACCCGTGAAAGCGATGCCCTGTTTCCCGAGAGATTCTACGGCGGCGATGCCCTGGCGCTAGCCGCCCGGTACCCGGACGATGTATACGCCAATCTCAAGACCCTGCTCGGACTCCCCTTTGATATCGATGACGAAGCGATCAAGACATATCACAACCGGTACCCTGCGTTGCGACTTGAAAAGGCCCCCGGCGATCGTGACACTGTTGGACTTCGGAGCAACCGACTTGGTGAGGCAGAGAAGAAGGACGCTTTTCTCGTTGAGGAGGTTCTTGCCATGCAGTTGAAGCAGATTAAGGCCAATGCCGATACCCTGGCTGGAAAGGGATCCAACATCCAGGATGCGGTGATTACCTACCCCTCATTCTATACCGCGGCGGAGAAGAGAAGTCTCCGCCTGGCGGCAGAGTTGGCAGGGTTGAATGTCGAAGCGTTCATTAGTGATGGTCTTGCTGTCGCTTTGAACTACGCCACCAGCCGCACTTTCCCCAGCGTGTCAGACGGAGAGAAGCCCGAGTATCACATTGTGTATGACATGGGCGCTGGCTCCACCACGGCCAGTGTCGTTCGCTTCCAGAGCCGCGCGGTTAAGGACATTGGCCGTTTCAACAAGACCGTCCAGGAAGTTCACGTCCTGGGTACCAGCTGGGACAAGACACTTGGCGGAGACTCTCTCAACGACCTGATTGTCGAGGATATGATCGCAAACCTGGTTGAGGAGAAGAAGCTGAAAGGCCGCGTCACCCCGGCTGATATCAAGGCTCACGGCAAGACCATGGCAAGACTCTGGAAGGATGCTGAGAAGGTTCGTCAGGTTCTCAGCGCCAACACTGAGACTGGGGCTTCGTTCGAGAGCCTGTACGAGGAAGAGGTCAACTTCAAGTATCGCCTTACCCGCTCTAAATTTGAGGAGCTTGCCGCGCATCACATCGCCCGCGTTGGAAAGCCTCTCGAGCAGGCTTTGGAGCTTGCCGGTTTGCAGATGAACGACATCGACTCTGTCATTCTTCACGGCGGTTCAATTCGCACGCCATTTGTGCAGAAGGAGCTTGAGAGTGTCTGTGGATCCGCTAGCAAGATTCGCACCAGCGTCAATGCTGATGAAGCCGCCGTGTTCGGAGCTGCATTCAAGGGGGCAGCTCTCAGTCCAAGCTTCCGTGTCAAGGATATCCGTGCCAACGAAGCGTCGGCTTACAGTGTTGTTTTGAAGTGGACCTCCGAATCCAAGGAGAGACAACAGAAGCTTTTCACACCCACTTCTCAGGTTGGACCCGAGAAGCAGGTCACCGTGAAGAACCTGGATGATCTTGATTTCAGCTTTTACCAGCAAGTTCCCCTCGCCGAGAGCGTTGCTGAGACTCCTGTTCTGGGCGTGAAGACGCAGAACCTCACTGCTTCTGTTTCCAAGCTGAAGGAAGACTTTGGCTGCTCGACTGCCAACATTACCACCAAGTTCACCATCCGCCTCAGCCCTGTTGATGGGCTTCCTGAGGTTGTAGGGGGATCCGTCAGCTGCGAAGTTGAAGGCGCCAAGAAGGGAAGTGTCGTTGAGGACGTCAAGGGATTTTTCGGTCTGGGCAAGAAGGATGAACAGGCCCCTCTGGGTGAAGAGGGTGAAGCCAGTGAGTCCATTACACTGGAACCAGAGGAACAAGCTTCGACCACCTCTTCGGACGCATCCACTTCTACCACGACTGCCAAGGAATCGAAGAAGAGCTCTCCTCAGACCAAGCTCGAGACCATCCCTGTCAGCTTCACTACCACTCCTCTGGGGCTTCCTGCACCGTCTACGGCTGAGCTTGCTCGCATCCAGGGCCGTTTGGCCGCATTCGACGCTTCGGACCGCGAGCGCTTCCTCCGTGAGGAGGCCTTGAATGAGCTAGAGTCCTTCATTTACCGCAGCCGTGATCTCGTGGAGGATGAAGAATTTGTCAAGATGTTGACTCCTGCGCAATTGAATACCTTGAAAGAGAAGGCCGCTGCCGCCAGCGACTGGCTGGACGGCGAGGGCGCCGACGCCAAAACCTCAGATCTCAAGGAGAGTCTCAAGTCCCTGAAAGACATTGTCAACCCTGCGCTTAAGCGCAAGAAGGAGAGCGCCGACCGTCCAGCCCGTGTTGAGCTTCTCCAGGATGTCCTGAAGAACGCCAAGACCGTGATGGACCTAATGGAGAAGCAGATTCAACAAGATGAGGACCTTCACTCGTCGAGCGTCGTCGCTAGTGAATCCACCGAAACGAGCTCGTCGCCATCGGCAAGTGAGACTCCCGCCCAGCCTTTGGATCTCGATGAGGATCCCTATGATACCTCCAGCAGCAGCACCTCTTCCGCTCCCACCACCACCTCAAAGCCCAGTGGACCGAAGTACTCTATCTTCCAGCCCTACGATCTCGCCAGCTTGTCCAAGACCTATGAATCTACGAACACTTGGTTCGAGACTCAAATGACCATCCAGGAGAAGCTCACTGTCACGGATGATCCGGCCTTCACCGTTGCTGAGCTCGATACCCGTCTTCGTGAACTGGAGCGCGTCATGAACCGCATTTACGAGAAGATGGGTGCGGCAGCCGCCAAGTCGGGCAAGAGTGAGCAGGCCAAGAAGAGCAGCAACGGCAAGAAGGGCAAGAGCAGTACCAAGAAGGAGCCAGAGTCGTCGTCGTCGTCGTCGTCGTCGACAACGACGCCATCTGCCGAGGCCAAGAAGAGCAACTTCAAGGACGAGTTGTAAGCCTCTGGCCGGTATGGTGCTGCTACGTTGTTCGAGAAGTATGGATGGAGAAAATGGTGGGGAGTTAAGGTTGAGCGTTGACATTTTGTAACATTTTTTTTCCCTAGATCTTTCCAGCTTTAAACCCCTGTATCATGCTATGCTGGATAATTGCATGCTTGAGTCATGTATTGTACTTTCATAGTGGCTCCAGAAGAGGCTTATCATACTCTCCGAAGGTTAACTGATTCACTCTGTTACTGTACTGTACTGTTGTATGTTTCAGCGCTGGTCTCACCGCCTGTGTGTGCCCTTCTGGATCAGTGGATCATCAATCCCCCGCCCAGCCCGTATTCGGACAACCTTGGGACCCCCGCAATCTGGATCCCCACCTCATTTACGGAGTACTAATTCCCCCGCATGGTCAAGAGACGGAGTGATATACATATACAGAGCGAGAGGAAGAGACATCGAATCTGTCCTCAACAGTCGCAAGGCAGAGATTCGGGGCTCAGAGTATCATTATCAAGTACGTGAAACCCGTGACCCTAAAGCCATCAGACGCAAAAGCAACCGAACTAACCTCCGGACAACAGACGAGAGGACCTTCTCTCCATATACTAATTCAAAGCACCACCACTTCTTCAGCACCGATTAGACCAACCCATGCTCCCCCAGCATCTCCCGATCAGCCCCCTCCCCCCCGAAACACAATGGCCGCCAAACACACCGCCATCCAAACCCACCAAATCACCCCCGAAGCCGCGGCCGCCCTCCACCACCTGCAGGGAGTCATCGAGACGGCCCCGGTCGCCAAAGTCGAAAAGAACAAGAACCTCATGTTCGCGAACCACTTCCTAGACCAACACGCAGCGCCGTTGTTAAAGCACCTCGAGCTCGAGGTAAGCTTTGCTTGCTTGCTTGCTCCCTTGCTTCCCCACCCACATTATATCCTGCGTGTCCGCACGTGTATCGCACAGAAGCCACCTGCGGCGCAAGAACCGCAGGACCCCCCCCCCCCCCCCCAATTTACCAAAATCCAGACCTCTGGTTACCTGACGGGCGCCACCAGGGCAAACCGCATCTCAGCTACATGGCGTGGAAGATCCTGGCGCGCAACACGATCCGCAACTCCACGGGCCCGCTGTACATCGTCCCCATCCGCGTGGTCGCCGGCACCGAGCCCCGGCTGGTGCCCCGGGATGCGGAGATGCGGCTCGCCCGGGAACCCGCGCTGGCGGTGCGGCTGGTGCCCGGGTCCTATGTGTGTTTCGATGGCGCGGTGGATCTGTGGCCTGGGTTGACTTGTTTGGTTATTACGCGAGTGAGGAGGCGGGGGTGATAGTGGTGGGTTGGGCTGTACGAGTGTATGTACTGTATATTGGTTTGTGGGGGATGAGGATGGGGATGAGGGAGTTCGGGGGTTCAAGGCTGGTTGGAGCGTTTTCTTTCTTTCTTCTTTCTTTCTTTCTTTCTTTCTTTTCCTTTTTCCATTTCATTTCTTTTGTTTTCGCTGGGGAATTGGAAGTCAATACGGAGTATACTCTCTATACAGGCGATAACTATACATGCGATTTATTCTCCTTACTTCGAATTGACTTACTTCGGATTGAGACTCATAATGAGGTGAAGGAGGATAAGAATATGTACAGTACAAGAAACCCGTCACCCGAAAGTCCATCCCCAACCATAACCATAAAAGCATAGCCTAGACCCATCATAGCAAAACCCCTACTAAACCCTATCCAGCATATCATCATAGCCCTGGGCCTGAGAATCACTGGAACCAGCCAGTAAACGCCCCCTCGACAACACAACTAGATAAAAAACGATAGAAATACAAACAATGGCAACGCTGGCTAAAAAAAAATCAGAGAAGAACCCATCCGAAGCACCACATCACGATCCAACCCTTCTTCCCACGCCCCAACCTTCCCAGGCAAATATTCCCAGCCAAGTACCGCAAAATCAAACACCCCCCATCTCCACCTCCCTGCACGCCCCCAGAGACCCATCGAACTCATACCCGTCCACCTCCTCCCGACTCCTCAAAAACGCCGGTTCCTCGAAGTCAGGCCCGAGTCCTACGTCGGCAGTGCAAGCACCACCCCGCCCGGTAACCACAAACCGCCTGCGGAGGGTACTACTGTTCTTACTCCGCGGCGCGAGAATCGTCCTCCCAGGAACCGCAGCAGCAGCAGCAGCAGCAGCAGCAGCAGCAGGCTCTGCCCGGGAGGTCCGCTGACCCCACGTCTCCGCGCCCGGGAAGTCCTCCATCTCACTGTCACTCTCATTGCTGTCGGCGCGGTAGGAATCGAAGTCCCCCCGGCCGCGCTTCGTACCCGTGAACGGGGCAGAGGAGGAGGTGGACTCCTGCGAGCTGGCGGGGAGGGAGAATGCGTCGCCTTCGTCGGTGGTGACCAGATGGCCGGACGGGTCTTGGTCTTGGTCTTGGTGGTAGTGGTAGAAAGGCGGGGCCCCGTAGAGGAGGGCTTTGCTCGACTGGTGGTGGGTCTTGTAGCCTTCGGCGATGGACTTGCGGATGCGCATGCCGACGGAGAGGAGGGAGGCCTGGACCTTCGGGGCGAGGGTCGGGGTCGGGGAGCTGGTGGAGGTGGAGTAGTGGTTGTGGGTGTGGTGGGCGGTTGGCGAGGGGTGGGCGGTCGGGTCGCTGGCTGTGGTGAAGAAGCTGGTGATCGGGGGTTGGAAGCGGCGGCGTTTGGAGTTGGGGTCGGTTGTTGTAGCACCAAAAGTGCGGTGGATGGAGGCTGAGGGTGGCATGGTGGGAATTGACTTTGGTGTATTTGGTGAGCGTGAAGGTGGGTTGTGAAGTTGTGATAGAGAGGAAAAGCCCTGGGTGGTGGGGTGTGGGGTAGTTTGGCGGGCGGAGTTTGTTGGAGTAATTGCTTGGATAGAATTCGAGGGAGTAAAAGAAAGTAAGGCCTACTATGGAGTAGTTGTCCAGTTGTTGTAGCGGGGGAGTTGAGAAGAATGGAGAGGAGAGTATGAGAATGAAATGAAGAAGAGGAAGAATGATGAAGACGGCGGCGACGAAGGGGGAAGAAGTAAATTGAAGGCTGGGCTTCTTCTTTGGGTCGCATCCCGCGACGCGCTTCCGACGCGCTGCATCGGAGTCTGGCACGTGTCCCCTGTCACGTGCTCTGTGCCATCCTCAATATATCCCTTCTAGGACTAGTCTGTTATGGTATACTATGTAGTACTATTTGCATGTAGTATACTCATATGTCATATAGTCGCAACATGCTATCGACTATATTTCCTGTCACTCACCCTTGGTAGAGCTCCTCTTTTCCAGACTTGCCACCTACGTGATGCTGCCATCTATCTATGGTCGGACTAGAGATTAAAACCCAGAACGCGCTCGCCTCCATGTCATTATTTATCATGAACTCTCATCGGAATAGAATTCCGCGGAACGACTGATTCCTTAAGTCACCATGAAGCATTGGAGTTACTATAAAGCAAAGGTTCTTCCAGTTCCCTCTCTCCTTCTCTTCTCAGCTGAAAATCCCAGGTACTTCACCACGTCGTAACAAGGAGGACACTGGCTTCAAACTATGCGATGCAGTCTGAGAAGCATAGTGACCATCACCCGGAGTACCTTCGGACCTCAGATCGTAACAAAGCGATAACTTGCTTCGATGATGAACAAACCTGCACGCGATGCAGTCTGAGGGGCACGGCGGTTCTATTCAAATACAGCAAGAAATCAGCCGAGGCTGAGCATCATCCGCGTTCGTCTGCTCATCATTGGCCGGGGCCTCAGAAAGTCGTAACTGTGGAATCACTTGCCTCGATGATGAACAAATCTGCATGTGGTGCAGTCTGAGGGGCACGGTGGTTCTATTCAAATACAGCGAGAAATCAGCCGAGGCTGAGCATCATCCCCGTTCATCTTCTCATCATTGGCCGGGGCCTCAGAAAGTCGTAACGTTGGAATCACTTGCCTCGATGATGAATAAATTTGCATGCTATGCAGTCTGAGGGCCACAGTGGTTCTATTCAACACAGCAAGGTATCAGCCGAAGCTGAGCATCATCCGTGTGGATCTTCTCATCACTGGCCGGGGCCTCAGAAAGTCGTAGCGTTGGAATCACTTGCCTTGATGATGAACAAACCTGCATGCAATGCAGTCTGAGAGGCACTTTGACCCTTGGACACGCCAGCTGAAGGAGCATCATCCCCTAAACCGGGACTGACATGAATCTTCAATCGGAACAAGACAAAAGCCTGCATTGGTTGCTGCACTGCGCCATCCGCCTGCTCAAAAACGCAAGGCGACGAGAAAAGATGGAGATGAGTCCAGAATGGAGGGCGTCCCCGGAAAGAGTCAACATAAATAGCATCGACATTGTCTAATTCATGATAGTTAAGGAAGTTACTATGGAACAGTAACGGCATCGACGCTGCCTGCTCCTGCTTAGCTACGGCCAGTATACTACACTATGAAACGCATCCAACCCGGAAAGAAAGCTCCAACGTGCTCGTCGCACTGTCCAAGTGGATGGGTCCAGAAACCTTCACATGGTGCTACTGCGCGGGCAGGTAGACATCCTTGCCCAGCGGAAAGAGCTGTCGCCAACCGATATGAAGGTCTCGAAAAGCCCACGGTGCATCCATCCACTTGTAAGACACCTTCCTAGGTCCCAAACGTTAAGTCATGGGTTCTTTGGGGATTGACAAGAATACGAGAATGATTTCGCTGCCTATCTCCTCCAAGGGTACATCTTAACATACTCCCATCCGTAAAATGACGCCGGAACGGCCAGCTACAAGCTGATGTGCGAGGTTCCGGACGGCTCAGGCTGATTAGGGCATCATCTGCAATCCACCATGCCGGTGAGCCGGGGAGGCGACGTTACTTGGACACGATCCCTGAGACTTCTCTTCTCTCACTCAACGAAACTCCTTTCAAGGCCTACAGCCGTACGTAGCGTCCTTCCCTGCTGGAGAGTGGGTGCTGCAGCTTCAAACACCAGCTCTGCGTCTACATAGCGTTTAGAGATAGACCGATAGACCCTCGCGGGTATGAAAGTCACTTTAGCAGGTACGCCCTCGTTACGCTTTGACTAGGACACGGGAGAGACAGCACTGGCCTTTGCAAGATGTGGTTGGTCTGATCGCCCTTGCACAAATGCAAAAGATGAACCAGTACTGTACATCGAACAGGGTGCGATGGAGGCTACTCTTCCTAGAAATGCCGCCAGGCGTACTGCAGTATCGAACTGATGTGCCTGTCTCCGTTCGGAGCTCTACTTTCCGGTAGTCAAGGCAGTTAATTTCTTCACCTAAACTTTATAGGGTGTTGCGTAGCCTTATGTATACTGTCGGCACCATTCGCATAAGCAGAGTAATATATATTTTGCAAGCTTCTCGACAATCTACAAAGCAGAAATAAAACAAGGGTATCATCAAGATATACCTCAATTGCCAGTGTTTCCCCGGCGACCACCACGCTTCGCCCGCTCCTGGTGGGCCTTCAGCACCGCCCGCGTTTGCACCAGACTGCGCTTGTTCTTGCTCTTCGCCTTGCCCAGGGTCATCAGGAAGTTCTTCTTGCGCGCCTTCTCCTTGTTGGTCGTACTCTTGCCCTGGGCATCCTTCTTCTCCTTGCGCTTGGCGGTCACACTCTTGTGATCGGCCCGATCGGTCTTGCCCTCCTTGGCATGCGCGATGCGTTCCTCGCGCGTGGCCTTGCCGGCCGACAGAGCGGCCAGACCCTCGATCTCCTCAGCCGTCAGGGGGTCGTCGTGGTGGCGGTTGCTGGCGGATTGACGGCCCTTCACGCCCGCCAGGGCGTTGACAGCCGCTTCGGTGCGTAGCTCCTGCAGCTTTGCCAGATCGGCAGGCGTCAGGATGCGCGTAGCTGCCAGGCTGAGCTTCTGGTCCAATTCCTTCTGCGCCTTGGACGCTTCGGTGGTCGCCTCCGCGGCCGTCTCCGCAGCCGTCTCTTCATCCGACTTGGCCTTCTTCTTCGGACGTTTGGAGTCTTCGTCGTCGTCATCCGAGTCGCTTAGCTCAATCTCAGCGTCACTCTGCACCTGGATCCAGCCATCGGAGTCGTCGCTGTCCTCGTCCTCCTCGACATTCCAGGCATCCCAATTATCCTCTTCGTCTTCCTCGTCGTCATCTTCCGCATCGGAGGCCAGACCCTTTTCGGCTCTCTTCTTGCGACGTTCCTCTTCCTTCCATTGCTCGAGCAGCTCGATGCCCTCGATACCGCCGGCCGCTTGCTCGGCGAAGCGTTTTTCCTTCTTATCTCCTGAGCGCAGGCCCATCGAGGCTTCCTTTCCACGGTCTCTTCTCTTGAGCCATTCGGGGTTGAGTTCGCGGAACAGACTGAGCAGACCACGAGCGGCCATGACCACTCCCTTGTCCTTACTCTTTCGGTACATGACAAGATCTTGCAACAGAGTCTCGTTCATCGCCAGGGGCTGGCGCGCGCAAATCTCTCTGATAGCATTGAGACCGGCGGATGCGACCTCTGCTGCCGACGCTTCGGAAACGAACTCGTTGGCGATCTTCTGAACCAGGGGCTCAAGGTCATCGGGAGGAACCAGATCGTGGGAGGCCTGCGCAAGGGAAGCCAGGAACGAAGTGACGGAAGGCTGGCGGGGCGTGAGGTATTTTTGGAAGTAGGAATACAGGTGCATGATGTGAAGCTTGTGCAGACCGACCAGGCGAGTCACAAGCTGAAGAACCAACAGCTTTTGGTCCAGGTTTAATTTGGACTTGGTGCTCTGGAGGTGCTTGGAGAACAGGCTTTCGGCGTATCCCTGGGGATCGTGCAACAGGTGCAGCGCGGAGAAGTTCAGCGGGTGGGGTTGGTTCTTCTTGCGTTCACGGCGCTTAACGGTTGCTCGGGCTTTCTCGACAGCGCGAGCCTTCTTTTTGGTCTTCTTGTTGATGCCGACGATGTGCTTGACTCTGCCCATGTCGATGGCCTCTTCATCACTGCTCTCGTCCTCCATCTCTTCACGTTCCTTATCACCACCCAGAAAGAAGCGGATTCCGCCCACAATGACCTTCTCGTTAGTAGCAAGACTAGCCTCCTTCATGACTTCGACAGCCTTGGCATCGGTCCAAATCTGGCGCTTCCACAGTTCGCGCGTAAGCTTGATAGCCCACAGACCCTTGGAGGAGGTGCGGTCGGAAGTGACTAGGTTGTAAAGGACGGTCTGCATGGTACGGTTGAGTTTGTGGTTCGTAGACTTCGCATTGGAAGATCGCAGGTCCATCAGGATCTTCTGGAACAGTAATGCGCGCAGCGTCTTGCTGGGCGTGGAGATGAGAATAGGGAACAGCGTCTGAAGGAGTCTAGAGAGTCGCACAGATTAGCGGGAGCGCTCGATTGGCCAACCTTTGTGAGAAAGACTTACGTCGCGGAATCCAAGAGTTCCTTCTTTCTCAGAAGCACCAAGCTTCCGACGATCTTCTCCCGCAACTCCGCCTGCAAGATCAAGTGATGCTGCGTCAGGATATCCATCAGTTGCTGCGGAAAGTCCTTGGTAATCTCCGGGTAGCAGTCGGCCACGTGGGCGATGAAATCGATCAATTCACGAAGCGAGATGATCCCCGTGTCCGTGGCCGACGAAGGTGCCGCCATGAAAATCTCGCGGTGACTCTCATATTGGTAGTGCTGCGCGCGGAAATCCTCGATGTAGGACCTGACAGAGGCACCCTGGTTAGCCTACTCCATGAGAGTTTGCATCGGAAGGGCATAACTTACTTGGGGTCTCTTCTGATCTTGTGCTGCAGATTGGGCCTGGAAAAAGAGAGAGCGCAACGTGTCAGCGATCGTGATGAAGTTCTCTCCGAGTCGGCGGGTAGAGTTTTTCTCTGTCCAGACAGCGAGGGGCACTTACAGATCAGCCTCAACCTTTTCCAAGGCCCCTAACTTCCTCTTCACCATGTTTGCGACAGGATGTGGTGAGAATTAGAGGAGTGATATGGGTTGATGGGGGAGAGAGGGAAGGAGATGGAAGGTGGTTGGCTCTGGCTGATAACAGACCCAGAACATTTTTTTTTTCTTCCTGCTAGTACGGGGTTCTGGCCTATCGATAAGCGATCAGCCAAAGGCGGCGACGGCAGTGGTCCCTGCAACATCAGATTTTGTCATATCAAACACTGCTGCGCTTGCCCCACGATTATGGAGTGGCATTTTTCAACACCTCTGTAGGTGGATTTGAATACTGTGTATTGTGAACTATGTAGATAGAGACAGATCTAGACTACACATAGAGTCGTTTAAGGAGGTCAAGTGTGTTCAAATACTACAATGGCTAACAGAACCAGAACATGAAAACAGGTAAATAAAATCTTTTCGTTTAGAGTTAAAAAATGGTAGGTTCTGACTCCGAAAGCCAGAGGTCTTCATGATCGCATCTCAACTACTGTGGAAGGAAAGCCGTCCAATTCTCTCATTTTTTGAGGATCTCGCTCCCTCCCGTGACTGTTTTCAGGTATGTACAGTCGCGCAGATGCATGCAAATCGACTGAATCCTATCGAACCCCCCGTCCACTCCAGTACACGCAAAACCAGAACCAAACGGAGAATACGCCCAAAGTTCCCACTTTACCGGTTGCTCTTGGCGACACGCTCGAGCTCGTCCTTCTTCTTGATGGCGTAGGAGTTGGAGCTACCCTTGGCGGCGTTGATGAGCTCCTCAGCCAAGCACTCGGCGATGCTCTTGATGTTGCGGAAAGAGGCCTCACGAGCACCGATGGTCAGGAGAGCGATGGACTGGTTGACACGGCGGAGGGGAGAGACATCGACGGCCTGGCGACGGACGGTACCGGCGGAACCGATACGGGTGCTGTCTTCGCGGGGACCGCAGTTGACGATGGCATCAACGGCAACCTGGAGAGGGTTCTGGTCGGTCATGATGTGGATCTAATGCGAAACTGTTAGCGCCTTGTCCGAGGCTGATTTCGGTTCTCGGCCGGTGAGAGTAGTGCTTCGGTGGAACATACGATCTCGAAAGCGTGAGCAACGATGCGGACAGCCATGAGCTTCTTTCCGTTGTTGCGGCCGTTCATCATGAGGGAGTTGGTCAGGCGCTCGATGATGGGGCACTGAGCCTTGCGGAAACGCTTGGCGGCATAGCGACCAGCGGAGTGAGGAAGGTAGACAGGGGAGCGGATCTGGATGTAGTCGCTGGTTGCGTGAAATTCGAGTCAGTATATCTCGTTCTGAGTCTTTGCCATCCTCTCTTGTCCAATCCATTCCGAGCCAGAATCCCTTTTTCTCTTTTCGTTGCGCAAATCCTTCCGCGTCGTGCTTTTGCTTGGATTCGAATCGACTGTTGCCTCCAACCCGACGAACAGGCTGGTGCAAATTTGTTTTCCTCCATCGAGCCAATCCGTTCCTCCTCTTCGTGGTAATAACAATCGCGATGAATTGGGAAGCACCTACGTCAAGGAGATGTCCCGGATCTCAACATCCTCGTAGCTCCACTTGTTGAACAGCTTCACGCTGCCCTGCTCGGCAAGAGCATCCTTGGGCAGGACCTGGAAGGCCGCAGCAGGGTTTTCGACCTCGACTTCGCCGTGTTCAGACATGTTGGACGACGTATGCACCTGTTGTCGAGGGAGGGATACGTGAAGGGGTGGCGGACGGTGTCGTTGGGTGATCCTGCAACGTCGACGAATACAGTCGGTCGGCTGAAATGTGTCGCTGAGCCCACGGAAATTCGAGGTGCGACTCGCTTAGCGGTGGGTGGGTTTAGGGCAGGCCCGACCACCAATGGTGCCAGAGGTGTCATGTGATCAAGCACTAACGGGTCTGCTCCGGTGCACCAACCCTGATTGGGGTTAGCCCGTGATGCCCCGGTAGATAACCACATCGGACTCCGCTTTCAACCCACCGGCATGTTACAACCCATCCTCCATGATCTAGACTGTATTCTGCTGGAGACAGGGCCATCGATACTAGCCCGTCCTTCACAAACGCCCAGCCCCCATTACCGAGTTTTGCTATGTATACGCTCGAAAATACCAGTCTTCGGCCAATTGTTTGGGACAGCGTCCTTCACCATTGGTCAACATCAGCAGCAGTATGCGCTCATTGCTTCAGACGATCAATTTGAGACAGACCAAAGACCGCTTCTCGGATATTTGACCTGGTGGCCATTGCTGATGCTAGACCGCAAGTACAGATCGACAGCCTCAACGCATCGATTGTCCTTGGTCATAGGATGGAACACTTGTCTGCGAAGATCTTTGCCCTCGATGACTCCAAACGATGTCTTTCAAGTTGGAAAAGCATCATCACGCCAGTCAACAGATCTCATGCCGGTTTGACTGGGTAGATCTCGAATGATTGGATGAGACTGCGATTAACGACCACGGTCAATCATTTGTGCCACAAGAGTCACAATGACCGGCATCCACAGGTAATCAGAGCCAGAGAGAGCGAGTCTTGGAGCACAAACCTTCAGACGATCTCGCAAAAAGTGGAATCCTCTGGTGCTGGTATCCGAAAGGATTCCAACACTCGCTCGATGACAGTGGCTCTGTGCTCGGTTGCATTACGAGCATGAAAATTCATGCCATTGAGTCTAGAGCCTCTTCTCATCTGGAGCAGCAGGACGACTATGCCTATATCTATGCCGGTGGTGAACAGGATACGAGCCTCTGGCTCCGATCGGAGTAGACTTCCATGGCACGTATCACAGTGATTGTAGCAGATAAGCGAGCCATGTGGACAGTTGGGGACTAGCTGTTGTAAGCGCATGGTCGGACTCTAGTTCCGTTCTACAAGCAATGTTCCCTGATAGTTGGTCCATCAAATTCAATCAGGCGGATCTCGACTACATTATTCTAGGACACTGAGCATATCGAGGAAAGACTCATCATCATGCCCTAATGAGCGGCCTCTTGATGTACCTCGTTGAAACTCTGGTTAACGCGAAGCGAGATCCTAAACAGGCGATCTCTGACGCGAAGCCACCGAAGTGTCAATGTTAGGCGGCCAATAGTTCTACGGAGTCTGAACACTGCATGGAGGGTTTCAGCCATCAAGGCGCTTTTTCATCCGAGAGTCACTGTTAGACTAACACCCTGACTCGAAATTGAGCAGGGTTCAGTGGTCTTCCTGCAACCTCCCAAAGAGAAGTCTTGTGACAGGTTGACACAGCACAATCGGTATTGATTCAATACTACTATTCTTACCAGTCGATTGTTCTCCCCAGGTGGATCTTGGCGCCAAGGGACATGCATTGACTCCACCGGAGCTAGAAAGATGTTAAAGATATTAAGTAGAAGGAGTATAGATTTCAAAGTAGAGGGAGTACGACAGGTTGCTGTGAAATGCCACCCCAATTCATCAGAGTAATTCTATTGTTAGTACAAGGTCTACCCTCCAGCAAGGAGAGGTCAACTCCCCGATAGACAATGTGAATCAGTCAGAAAGGGGACATCCCGCATCGGGTCACGGGTAGCGGAAAAGCCGGTAAGAGTCAAATCATGCAGAAATAGGGACGGCACATGAGGATTGGTTGTTACCAGAACGTGTACCTGTCACTGGAAACACAAGATAATTTGTTCTTTCAGGGGTCATCTATGGTCGTCGTGGTGGTAGTAACTGAAGATGAGCGTTGAGCACATTTACTACCACTATCATGACTATCATGGAATGAGCAGTCAGTCACTTAGTTACATAGTACGAACAGTACCTTAATTTAACATCGTCATCCCCAGATCCTCATCGTCCATCATCCCGCGGTGTGGCGGTGCCAATTGTGCCCACGGCCAACTGTGCCAATTGTGCGTCTCCGGCCCGCCTCACAGGCCCTACTCCCACCTAATTAAAGCCCCCTCGGCAGGTGACGTTGTGGCTCTTTGTGGCTCTTCGGGCGCGGAGAAAGCGAGAGACGCTCCGAGGAACGTGAGAGAATCCCCCCCTCCTCCTCCGCCTCCTCCGCCTCCTCCTCCTCCTCCACACACCCCCATTCAAACTACTTCTCCTCGGTCGCAAGAGGCCGTGTTTATTGGGGACTTCTTCTTCTCTCCCCGTCTGTCCCCAGTGCCTGTTGACTGCCGACTCAAACACCCTGCGATGAGAGTATCTTTCTTCGTTCACGCCCAGTCGTACGCGCCCTCGAATGACAGCCCCTCGATTTGTACCCCTTCAGCGCTTCTGTGATCATGGCGGACGACAACAACCCTGAGCTGCAGTCCGCTCTGCGCGACCTTGACAAGGAATTGGAGGTATGAGGCGGTCACTGTTACTTTCTGTCCATCTAGGACCTGGTTATCGTGTTGGAAATTCTTGGACTGACTTGCTCTTGCCCTGTACTATCAGGAAGGTGATATCACCGAGAAAGGGTAAGCATCCTGTTGGTGCCGAAAATCGGGCAGTGTACGCGGATAATGCCTCCCTCAGGACAAACACCGCTAGCATCTATTCAGAATCCCAAGACACATGATTCATGGCAGACCATCAACTTGATCATGAACTGATTTTGTCGCAGATATCAGAAACGGCGCACATTACTCCTCTCGCAGTTTTTCGGCCCTAATATGGCACTGGACCTCAATACACCTACATCCGGCAATGCTCCCTCCTCAATCACCAGTTCAACCCACCCGCCTCCGGCCATCCTCAACGTCCGACCCCCTACGGCCGATTCCACAAGCCATGGCGGACCGTCGGATTCCTTCTCGAACGGCCGCGATAGTTTCCAGAACGGGGGCTTCGGATATGATCGGAGGATAAGTGGCGAGACGCAGGGCTCATACGAAAGAGACAGCATGTTATTACCTGGTGACAGAGCCCCGTCAGCCGCTTCTTATGACTCTCTTTTCCTTCCGAAACCACAGCCTGCTCCGCCGCTACAAGAGAGTTCGAGGACAGCAACCCTACTAAGTCAGAATTATGCTTTCAATCCGGGCCCTCCTCACGATCACTACGATGAGCCGGCCGGGGCCTACGATATGCCATCTGGCACTGGCACGCGACAGTCGACCATGCTCGACTCTCAGCAGGGGTACTTCTCCGACTTTGCTGGCCAGCAACAGGACGATTATAGAGACAGTTACGGGGGTGGTTTTCATCGCTATTCCCAATCAGATACATTTTCCCCTACGGCAAATATGGCTCCGCCTTTAATTCCTGCCTCTGAACTTCCTCACGGACCGGCACTTGATCACCTACTTCCGTTGGAACCTCGGGACATCCCATTTGCTGTTCATGATCCCCACGACAAGAATACCCCCATGTCTAATTTCGAAAACATCCCCGCGGTTCTCCGGCATCGCGCTCGAGTGCATGCGAAGCAGCCGGCTTATTGGGTCCTAGACCAGAAAGGAAAGGAGATTGCCTCGATCACTTGGGACAAGCTTGCTAGTCGCGCGGAGAAGGTGGCGCAGGTCATTCGGGACAAGAGCAATCTCTATCGCGGTGATCGTGTGGCTTTGATCTACCGCGACTCCGAGATTATCGAGTTTGCTGTCGCCTTGATGGGATGTTTCATCGCCGGAGTTGTCGCCGTCCCAATAAACAGTCTCGAGGACTATCAAAGTCTCAACCTGATCTTGACTTCCACGCAAGCACATCTCGCTTTAACGACGGAGAATAACCTCAAGAGCTTTCAGAGAGACATTACAATCCAAAAGTTGAATTGGCCTAGAGGGGTAGAGTGGTGGAAGACGAACGAATTCGGCAGCTACCACCCAAAGAAGAAAGACGATACCCCGCCACTCGTGGTTCCCGATCTGGCTTACATTGAATTTTCAAGGGCCCCTACCGGAGATTTGCGCGGTGTTGTCATGAGCCATCGAACGATCATGCATCAGATGGCTTGCCTCGGTGCAATTGTTTCGACGGTGCCTGCATCTTCGAGCGCAGCGAAACAACGTGGGGAGACTCTTATCAGCTACTTGGACCCCAGACAAGGCATTGGAATGATTCTAGGCGTCCTCCTTACTGTGTACGGGGGCCACACCACTGTCTGGCTTGAGGATCGGGCCGTAGAGACCCCTGGTCTTTATGCTCACTTAATCACTAAATACAGGGCAACTCTTATGGCCGCCGACTACCCCGGCTTGAAAATCGCAGCATACAACTACCAGCAAGATCCAATGGCCACGCGACATTACAAGAAGAATTCCGAGCCCAATTTTGGATCGGTGAAGCTCTGTCTGATTGATTCGCTCACGGTGGATCCTGAATTTCATGAAATTCTGGCAGACCGATGGCTTAGGCCCATGCGAAATCCCAGGGCTCGAGAAATTGTCGCTCCAATGCTTTGTCTTCCTGAGCACGGTGGCATGGTCATCAGTGTGCGGGATTGGCTGGGTGGTGAAGAACGCATGGGTTGCCCTCTGACGCATGAGATGGACCCCAGCCAGCGCGAGGGGTTCAGGAAGGAAGAGAAGAAATCGGAAAAGACCGAGACCAACAGCGGGTTTGGTAGCAGTCTTTTGGGTGGTGGTTCTTCTGCTCCCGCTCCCGCCCCGCAAGAACAAGGACAGACTGATATGCTCGAAGTCCTCTTAGACAAGGAGGCTCTGAAGAGCAATGAGATCGTGGTTCTAGCCATGGGTGAAGAGGCGAAGAAGTTTGCGCCCACTATGCCTCACGCTGTACGAGTTGGCTCGTTCGGTTATCCTATCCCCGATGCTACTGTGGCGGTGGTTGATCCCGAGACCAATTTGCTGTGCAC